TGACTAACTGGTTCTGACTCTGACTGGTTCTGACTAACTGGTTCTGACTGACTGGTTCTGACTCTGACTGGTTTCTGACTGACTGGTTCTGACTCTGACTGGTTCTGACTGACTGGTTCTGACTGACTGGTTCTGACTCTGACTGGTTCTGACTGACTGGTTCTGACTAACTTGTTCTGACTCTGACTGGTTCTGACTGACTGGTTCTGACTCTGACTGGTTCTGACTGACTGGTTCTAACTGACTGGTTCTGACTGACTGGTTCTGACTCTGACTGGTTCTAACTGACTGGTTCTGACTCTGACTGGTTCTGACTCTGACTGGTTCTGACTGACTGGTTCTGACTCTGACTGGTTCTGACTAACTGGTTCTGACTGACTGATTCTGACTCTGACTAGTTCTAACTGACTGGTTCTGACTCTGACTGGTTCTGACTCTGACTGGTTCTGACTGACTGGTTCTGACTCTGACTGGTTCTGACTGACTGGTTCTGACTCTGACTGGTTCTGACTGACTGGTTCTGACTCTGACTGGTTCTGACTCTGACTGGTTCTGACTGACTGGTTCTGACTAACTGGTTCTGACTCTGACTGGTTCTGACTCTGACTGGTTCTGACTCTGACTGGTTCTGACTGACTGGTTCTAACTGACTGGTTCTGACTGACTGGTTCTGACTCTGACTGGTTCTGACTGACTGGTTCTGACTAACTTGTTCTGACTCTGACTGGTTCTGACTGACTGGTTCTGACTCTGACTGGTTCTGACTGACTGGTTCTAACTGACTGGTTCTGACTGACTGGTTCTGACTCTGACTGGTTCTAACTCTGACTGGTTCTGACTGACTGGTTCTGACTCTGACTGGTTCTGACTGACTGGTTCTGACTGACTGGTTCTGACTCTGACTAGTTCTAACTGACTGGTTCTGACTCTGACTGGTTCTGACTCTGACTGGTTCTGACTAACTGGTTCTGACTGACTGGTTCTGACTCTGACTAGTTCTAACTGACTGGTTCTGACTCTGACTGGTTCTGACTCTGACTGGTTCTGACTGACTGGTTCTGACTCTGACTGGTTCTGACTGACTGGTTCTGACTCTGACTGGTTCTGACTGACTGGTTCTGACTGACTGGTTCTGACTCTGACTGGTTCTGACTGACTGGTTCTGACTAACTGGTTCTGACTCTGACTGGTTCTGACTGACTGGTTTTGACTAACTGGTTCTGACTCTGACTGGTTCTGACTCTGACTGGTTCTGACTGACTGGTTCTGACTCTGACTGGTTCTGACTGACTGGTTCTGACTGACTGGTTCTGACTCTGACTGGTTTCTGACTGACTGGTTCTGACTAACTGGTTCTGACTCTGACTGGTTCTGACTCTGACTGGTTCTGACTAACTGGTTCTGACTCTGACTGGTTCTGACTCTGACTGGTTTTGACTAACTGGTTCTGACTCTGACTGGTTCTGACTGACTGGTTCTGACTGACTGGTTCTGACTCTGACTGGTTCTAACTGACTGGTTCTGACTCTGACTGGTTCTGACTCTGACTGGTTCTGACTCTGACTGGTTCTGACTCTGACTGGTTCTGACTGACTGGTTCTGACTGACTGGTTCTGACTCTGACTAGTTCTAACTGACTGGTTCTGACTCTGACTGGTTCTGACTCTGACTGGTTCTGACTGACTGGTTCTGACTCTGACTGGTTCTGACTGACTGGTTCTGACTCTGACTGGTTCTGACTCTGACTGGTTCTGACTGAGTGGTTCTGACTGACTGGTTCTGACTCTGACTGGTTCTGACTGACTGGTTCTGACTCTGACTGGTTCTGACTGACTGGTTCTGACTGACTGGTTCTGACTCTGACTGGTTCTGACTGACTGGTTCTGACTGACTGGTTCTGACTCTGACTGGTTCTAACTGACTGGTTCTGACTCTGACTGGTTCTGACTCTGACTGGTTCTGACTGACTGGTTCTGACTGACTGGTTCTGACTCTGACTGGTTCTGACTGACTGGTTCTGACTCTGACTGGTTCTGACTGACTGGTTCTGACTCTGACTGGTTCTGACTGACTGGTTCTGACTCTGACTGGTTCTAACTGACTGGTTCTGACTCTGACTGGTTCTGACTCTGACTGGTTCTAACTGACTGGTTCTGACTCTGACTGGTTCTGACTCTGACTGGTTCTGACTGACTGGTTCTGACTGACTGGTTCTGACTCTGACTGGTTCTGACTGACTGGTTCTGACTGACTGGTTCTGACTGACTGGTTCTGACTGACTGGTTCTGACTCTGACTGGTTCTGACTAACTGGTTCTGACTGACTGGTTCTGACTCTGACTGGTTCTGACTGACTGGTTCTGACTGACTGGTTCTGACTCTGACTGGTTCTGACTGACTGGTTCTGACTCTGACTGGTTCTGACTGACTGGTTCTGACTGACTGGTTCTGACTCTGACTGGTTCTAACTGACTGGTTCTGACTCTGACTGGTTCTGACTCTGACTGGTTCTGACTGACTGGTTCTGACTCTGACTGGTTCTGACTGACTGGTTCTGACTCTGACTGGTTCTGACTGACTGGTTCTGACTGACTGGTTCTTACTCTGACTGGTTCTAACTGACTGGTTCTGACTCTGACTGGTTCTGACTCTGACTGGTTCTGACTGACTGGTTCTAACTGACTGGTTCTGACTGACTGGTTCTGACTAACTGGTTCTGACTAACTGGTTCTGACTCTGACTGGTTCTGACTAACTGGTTCTGACTCTGACTGGTTCTGACTAACTGGTTCTGACTGACTGGTTCTGACTCTGACTGGTTCTGACTGACTGGTTCTGACTCTGACTGGTTCTGACTGACTGGTTCTGACTGACTGGTTCTGACTCTGACTGGTTCTGACTGACTGGTTCTGACTAACTTGTTCTGACTCTGACTGGTTCTGACTGACTGGTTCTGACTCTGACTGGTTCTGACTGACTGGTTCTAACTGACTGGTTCTGACTGACTGGTTCTGACTCTGACTGGTTCTAACTGACTGGTTCTGACTCTGACTGGTTCTAACTCTGACTGGTTCTGACTGACTGGTTCTGACTCTGACTGGTTCTGACTGACTGGTTCTGACTGACTGGTTCTGACTCTGACTAGTTCTAACTGACTGGTTCTGACTGACTGGTTCTGACTCTGACTGGTTCTGACTGACTGGTTCTGACTCTGACTGGTTCTGACTGACTGGTTCTGACTGACTGGTTCTGACTCTGACTGGTTCTGACTGACTGGTTCTAACTGACTGGTTCTGACTGACTGGTTCTGACTCTGACTGGTTCTAACTGACTGGTTCTGACTCTGACTGGTTCTGACTCTGACTGGTTCTGACTAACTGGTTCTGACTCTGACTGGTTCTGACTGACTGGTTTTGACTAACTGGTTCTGACTCTGACTGGTTCTGACTCTGACTGGTTCTGACTGACTGGTTCTGACTCTGACTGGTTCTGACTGACTGGTTCTGACTCTGACTGGTTCTGACTCTGACTGGTTCTGACTGACTGGTTCTGACTCTGACTGGTTCTGACTGACTGGTTCTGACTCTGACTGGTTCTGACTGACTGGTTCTGATTCTGACTGACTGGTTCTGACTGACTGGTTCTGACTAACTGGTTCTGACTCTGACTGGTTCTGACTGACTGGTTCTGACTAACTGGTTCTGACTCTGACTGGTTCTGACTGACTGGTTCTAACTGACTGGTTCTGACTGACTGGTTCTGACTCTGACTGGTTCTAACTGACTGGTTCTGACTCTGACTGGTTCTGACTCTGACTGGTTCTGACTGACTGGTTCTGACTCTGACTGGTTCTGACTGACTGGTTCTGACTGACTGGTTCTGACTCTGACTAGTTCTAACTGACTGGTTCTGACTCTGACTGGTTCTGACTCTGACTGGTTCTGACTGACTGGTTCTGACTCTGACTGGTTCTGACTGACTGGTTCTGACTCTGACTGGTTCTGACTGACTGGTTCTGACTCTGACTGGTTCTGACTCTGACTGGTTCTGACTGACTGGTTCTGACTCTGACTGGTTCTGACTGACTGGTTCTGACTCTGACTGGTTCTGACTGACTGGTTCTGATTCTGACTGACTGGTTCTGACTGACTGGTTCTGACTAACTGGTTCTGACTCTGACTGGTTCTGACTGACTGGTTCTGACTAACTGGTTCTGACTCTGACTGGTTCTGACTCTGACTGGTTCTGACTGACTGGTTCTAACTGACTGGTTCTGACTGACTGGTTCTGACTCTGACTGGTTCTAACTGACTGGTTCTGACTCTGACTGGTTCTGACTCTGACTGGTTCTGACTGACTGGTTCTGACTCTGACTGGTTCTGACTGACTGGTTCTGACTGACTGGTTCTGACTCTGACTAGTTCTAACTGACTGGTTCTGACTCTGACTGGTTCTGACTCTGACTGGTTCTGACTGACTGGTTCTGACTCTGACTGGTTCTGACTGACTGGTTCTGACTGACTGGTTCTGACTCTGACTGGTTCTGACTGACTGGTTCTGACTCTGACTGGTTCTGACTCTGACTGGTTCTGACTCTGACTGGTTCTGACTGACTGGTTCTGACTGACTGGTTCTGACTCTGACTGGTTCTGACTGACTGGTTCTGACTGACTGGTTCTGACTCTGACTGGTTCTGACTGACTGGTTCTGACTCTGACTGGTTCTGACTGACTGGTTCTGACTGACTGGTTCTGACTCTGACTGGTTCTAACTGACTGGTTCTGACTCTGACTGGTTCTGACTCTGACTGGTTCTGACTGACTGGTTCTGACTCTGACTGGTTCTGACTGACTGGTTCTAACTGACTGGTTCTGACTCTGACTGGTTCTGACTCTGACTGGTTCTGACTGACTGGTTCTGACTCTGACTGGTTCTGACTCTGACTGGTTCTGACTAACTGGTTCTGACTGACTGGTTCTGACTGGTTCTGGTTCTTTCCCAGGGTGCCCGGCCTCCGCTGCCGCTGACCTCCTCTTCCTGGTCGACGGCTCCTGGAGCGTCGGCAGGCCGAACTTTAAGTACGTCCGCAGCTTCATGGCGGCGGCAGCTGGAGCGTTCCAGATTGGCGAGGACAGAACCCGCGTTGGCGTGGTCCAGTACAGTGATGACCCGCAGACCGAGTTCAGCCTGAACCAACACCTGACCCGACCCGCTCTGATGAAGGCCATCGGCTCGCTGCAGTACAAGGGAGGCAACACCAGGACAGGTGAGACGCGCAGGTGGCGCCCCCTGCTGGTTTTACTTTCTTTTAAATCACCACACTGAAGAAATCTGAAACTTTCTCAACAGTTTCTCAGCTTTGTTCTTTTAAACCTTCATTAAACCCAGACGCTTTAATTACAGATCTGTGTTATGTAGCTCTATGTTCAGCTTCTCTGAACAGTTTTCTTTTTAAATCTGCAACATGTGTTGGAATTTTCTGACTCCTCGACCTTCAGGTCAAAACAGAAAAACTTCCTGGGTTTGAAACCCATTGCCATAGCAACAGTAACCTGTTCAGGTGGTTGTGTTCCTCCAAGACAGGAGGTCTCACTCCTCACATTTTCTCTGACTGTAGAGAAAACCAATGTTTGGTTCCTGTGATCATTTTTCTTCGACCACACAGAACCGGGTCGCTAACAGTCCGGCTGCTGCAGGTCGTTCTGTGATGCATTCACTTGCACTCGGACATGTGATGTCTCCTCATTAGAGTCTGCACTACATATGAGAATCTATTTTAATTTGTGATATTGTTGTTATCATAACATCATTAGCTTCAATATGATCATTATTAGTATTGTTAATACTATTAGTAATATTGTATTATTGAATGTACTGCATTAATCAATAATCTGACAGTAGATTGCTAAATTAATTATAAACAGGAGATAATAAATGTGACGTTGCTGCTTATATTTCTACCCACTACTTTGAAAGTTGATTATTTATTGCAATTATTTGTAATTTATGATGTTTAATAAAAATAGGGATATGTGTGTTTATATGGGATTAAGCGTTTCTGCTTCTCTAATAAATTCATTTGAATGTGTAGATCAGTTCTGTGACAGACTGGCGACCCGTCCCAGTGACCCGTCCCAGTGACCCGTCCCAGCGACCCGTCCCAGTGACCCGTCCCAGTGACCCGTCCCAGTGACCCATCCCGACCCGACCCGTCCCAGTGACCCGTCCCAGTGACCCGTCCCAGTGACCCGACCCATCCCGACCCGACCCGTCCCAGCGACCCGTCCCAGCGACCCGACCCAGTGACCCGTCCCAGCGACCCGTCCCAGCGACCCGACCCATCCCCCCCGACCCGTCCCAGCGACCCGTCCCAGCGACCCGACCCAGTGACCCGTCCCAGCGACCCGTCCCAGCGACCCGTCCCAGCGACCCGACCCATCCCGACCCGACCCGACCCGACCCATCCCGACCCGACCCAGCGACCCGTCCCAGCGACCCGTCCCAGCGACCCGACCCATCCCGACCCGACCCGTCCCAGCGACCCGACCCAGTGACCCGTCCCAGCGACCCGTCCCAGCGACCCGTCCCAGCGACCCGACCCATCCCGACCCGACCCGACCCGACCCATCCCGACCCGACCCAGCGACCCGTCCCAGCGACCCGTCCCAGCGACCCGTCCCAGCGACCCGTCCCAGTGACCCGTCCCAGCGACCCGACCCAGCGACCCGTCCCAGCGACCCGTCCCAGCGACCCGACCCAGCGACCCGTCCCAGCGACCCGACCCAGCGACCCGTCCCAGTGACCCGTCCCAGTGACCCATCCCGACCTGACCCGTCCCAGTGACCCGTCCCAGCGACCCGTCCCAGCGACCCGACCCAGCGACCCGTCCCAGTGACCCATCCCGACCTGACCCGTCCCAGTGACCCGTCCCAGCGACCCATCCCAGCGACCCGTCCCAGCGACCCGTCCCAGTGACCCGTCCCAGCGACCCGTCCCAGTGACCCGTCCCAGTGACCCGTCCCAGTGACCCGTCTCTCACCCAGAACGTTGCTGGAGAGCCAGCAGCTCCTCCTGACTCTCTGGAGACAAGACTGTTAGAAAATGGATGGATGTGGATCAATTCAGATCAATAAAACTTAATTTGTGGAGCAGCAAAAACACAGATATATTAAAAATATAAAAAAGATTAAAAGTTTGAATCAGAATCTGGAGGAATAAATATTTCATCAATGTTCTGCTGCAGGTTTCTATTCACCAAACTCTGTTTTGTCTTCATAAATTATAATCAGATGGAGGTTTAGATAATCTGGTCATTCTGGTTTCCATCTGAAATCCTCCTGTCTGGTTTCTGCTCAGGCGATGCGCTCAGCCACCTGCTGGCCAGCGGCTTCTCCGAGGCGGCCGGCTCCAGGAAGGGCTTCCCCAAGCTGCTGCTGATCATCACGGACGGGAAGTCGGACGATCCGGTGGAGGACGCCGCCCGGCGGCTGAGGAGCCGAGGCGTGGACGTGTTCGTCCTGGGTGAGCCGCCAGACCGCCCGGCATGAGAAGTGGCGAGCGAAACGCGTTTACGTTCTTCCTCCCAGCCAACTTTCCACAAACTCAGACTGTTGCCTTGGAGATAACAAGGGGAACTGACACAGCCCATCCTTTGGACGACAGAAGTGGAAAAAAGGCTTTAGGAGTTATTAAAGCAAACATATTTCCAAGTTGTGCAGCAGAAGCTGATAACAGCCATAAATCCAGACTTTGTCTCATGTGGCAGGAAAAGTTTCCATCCAGACGAGTTTAAAAATACAGCAGCAGAACCAAACAGTAGACAGAAAGTTAATGTGTAATTATCTCTGCAAAACCAACAATATGATCAACAATATGATCAACAATATGATCAACATTATGATCAACAATATGATCAACAATATGATCAACATTATGATCAACATTATGATCAACAATATGATCAACATTATGATCAACAATATGATCAACATTATGATCAACAATATGATCAACAATATGATCAACAATATGATCAACATTATGATCAACATTATGATCAACATTATGATCAACAATATGATCAACAATATGATCAACATTATGATCAACATTATGATCAACAATATGATCAACAATATGATCAACATTATGATCAACATTATGATCAACAATATGATCAACATTATGATCAACAATATGATCAACATTATGATCAACATTATGATCAACATTATGATCAACATTATGATCAACAATATGATCAACAATATGATCAACAATATGATCAACAATATGATCAACATTATGATCAACATTATGATCAACAATATGATCAACATTATGATCAACATTATGATCAACATTATGATCAACAATATGATCAACAATATGATCAACATTATGATCAACAATATGATCAACATTATGATCAACAATATGATCAACAATATGATCAACATTATGATCAACAATATGATCAACAATATGATCAACAATATGATCAACATTATGATCAACATTATGATCAACAATATGATCAACAATAATACTGTCATAAAGTTTATAAAGAAATAAATAACATGGTGAAAGTGTGCGGGCTGCACAGTGGAGCAGTGGGTAGTGCTGTTGCCTTGCAGCAAGAAGGTCTGGGGTTTGATTCCCGGCCCAGGGTCTTTCTGCACAGAGTTTGCATGTTCTCCCTGTGCGTGGTGGGTTCTCTCCGGGTTCTCTCCGGGTTCTCTCCGGGTTCTCTCCGGGTTCTCTCCGGGTTCTCTCCGGGTTCTCTCCGGGTTCTCTCCGGGTTCTCCGGCTTCCTCTCACAGTCCAAAAACATGTCTGTCAGGTTAATTGGTCTTTCCACATTCTCCCTCGGTGTGTGTGTGGTTGTTTGTCCTGTTTATTTCTATGTTGCCCTGCGACGGACTGGCGACCCGTCCAGGTGACCCGCCTCTCGCCCGGAACGCGGCTGGAGAGGCACCAGCAACTCCCAAACCCGTTAGGGAGAAGGGTGAACAGATAATGGATGGATGGTAAAAGTATTCCATTTTGACCGGACAGATTCAATAAATCAAACTATGCAGTTTGACTGTGCAAAATGCTTTTAAAATGCTGCCTGTAGTTTCCTTTTTAAGTCATTTTAACTTTCTCTCTGTTCTGCTGTGAAAAAATGACATGTAGATTAAATTTCTGGACTCCGTTTAAACAGATGAATAATTATTATTAAGAGGATGAATTTCAAGATCTCTGGGTGTCGATCACCTGCTGCCTATCTGCGCAAATATATGTCAGATTTGGATGTTGCCAGAGCAACAGGCTCCGCCCACAGCAGCTTTTGCTCATGGCTGCATGTTAAAATGACTTCCTGACATGAGAATGTTAGCTTCTGTTAGCTTCTGTTAGCTTCTGTTAGCTTCTGTTGGCTTCTGTTAGCTTCTGTTAGCTTCTGTTGGCTTCTGTTAGCTTCTGTTAGCTTCTGTTAGCTTCTGTTATCTTCTGTTAGCTTCTGTTAGCTTCTGTTGGCTTCTGTTGGCTTCTGTTAGCTTCTGTTAGCTTCTGTTAGCTTCTGTTAGCTTCTGTTGGCTTCTGTTGGCTTCTGTTAGCTTCTGTTAGCTTCTGTTGGCTTCTGTTAGCTTCTGTTGGCTTCTGTTAGCTTCTGTTGGCTTCTGTTAGCTTCTGTTAGCTTCTGTTGGCTTCTGTTAGCTTCTGTTAGCTTCTGTTGGCTTATGTTGGTTTCTGTTAGCTTCTGTTGGCTTCTGTTAGCTTCTGTTGGCTTCTGTTAGCTTCCGTTGGCTTATGTTGGTTTCTGTTAGCTTCTGTTGGCTTATGTTAGCTTCTGTTGGTTTATGTTATCTCCTGTTAGCTTCTGTTGGTTTATGTTATCTCCTGTTAGCTTCTGTGAGCTTCTGTTGGTTTATGTTATCTCCTGTTACCTTCTGTTAGCTTCTGTTGGTTTATGTTATCTCCTGTTAGCTTCTGTTGGCTTATGTTAGCTTCTGTTGGTTTCTGTTAGCGTCTGTTGGCTTATGTTAGCTTCTGTTAGCTTCTGTTGGCTTATATTGGTTTCTGTTAGCTTTTGTTGGCTTATGTTAGCTTCTGTCAGCTTCTGTTGGTTTATGTTATCTCCTGTTAGCTTCTGTTGGTTTCTGTTATCTTCTGTTAGCTTCTGTTGGCTTATGTTGGTTTCTGTTAGCTTCTGTTGGCTTATGTTAGCTTCTGTTAGCTTCTGTTGGCTTCTGTTAGCTTCTGTTGGCTTATGTTGGTTTCTGTTAGCTTCTGTTGGTTTATGTTATCTCCTGTTAGCTTCTGTTGGTTTCTGTTATCTTCTGTTAGCTTCTGTTGGCTTCTGTTGGTTTCTGTTAGCTTCTGTTGGCTTATGTTGGTTTCTGTTAGCTTCTGTTGGCTTATGTTAGCTTCTGTTAGCTTCTGTTGGCTTCTGTTAGCTTCTGTTAGCTTCTGTTGGTTTCTGTGGGCCTTGAGAGCTGAAAATGTCCTGGAATGGAAAAATAAACCTGGATAATTTCCATTTCCTGTAACTGGCTTCTTCTTGATATGATCTGAGTGTTATTGTTCCTGAATGTTTTTCTCAGATCTCAGGGAACATGTGCACAGAAACTTCAGAGATTTCATATCAATACTCAGAAGTGTTTTGCTGCTACAGTAAAGCTGTTTTCCTCTCTGCAGTGACTCATTCAGCTGAACTTTAAATAAACCGACAGGCTGCAGCTCGTATAACAATGTCAGAGTATTACAGAGCGTTATTGGTCTGTTAAACTCCAACCAGCTTCATATTTACTGCTCTTATTGTCAGACTTTCCTGCCAGAATGGAACAAAATCTGTTCAGTCAGCGAACGTGGAAAAGTCGTGCTCACTTTCCACTTTTTACTGGCTTGGAGTGAAAGAAGAAAACGAAATTTCCTTCAGTAAATTATAACGAGATCGCCTCAGAGCTCAGGACGGATTTGGCAGACGGACGGGAACCAAAGAAGGTTCATGTTTGTGATGGGAGTGAAAATGGCGCGCACTGAGGGAGTTTCTGTCCCCACCAGGTGTCCACCATGCTGACGAAGAGGAAATGAGGCTCATGGCGTCCACGCCCTACAGCCGCCGCGTGTTCGGCGTGGCGAACTTCGAGCAGATCCGGTCAGTGCAGAAGGATCTGATCAGCCAGATGTGCGCCAGTGTGGAGGATCAACTCGACTCGCTGGTCAGCGGAGAAGAAGGTGAAGCTGCCCCCCCACTCTGCCCCCCCCCACTCTGCCCCGCCCCACTCTGCCCCGCTCCACTCTGCCCCGCCCCTCTCTGCCCCGCCCCACTCTGCCCCGCCCCACTCTGCCCCGCCCCACTCTGCCCCCTCCACTCTGCCCCGCCCCTCTCTGCCCCGCCCCACTCTGCCCCGCCCCACTCTGCCCCTCCCCACTCTGCCCCGCCCCTCTATGCCCCGCCCCACTCTGCCCCGCCCCACTCTGCCCCGCCCCATCTGCCCCTCCCCACTCTGCCCCGCCTCTCTCTGCCCGCCCCATCTGCCCCGCCCACTCTGCTCGCCCGCCTCTCTCTGCCCGCCCCATCTGCCCCTCCACTCTGCCCCGCCTCTCTCTGCCCCGCCCTTTATCATCTTTATTGTCAACTTTCTCTTTTCTCAGTCTAGCCTTTTTTGAGGAATTTGTTGTTTTTCTGTCTATAACCTTACTAATGGCATTGATCAGTAAATTGATTGATACAATTCTGTTTCATGAAAGAGTTGTAAAACAGACTCTTTCATAAGGTTCTAACATCTTGTTCCTTCAATAATCACTTATTTCAGAGAACATCTTTCTTTTCCTCTGCATACAGGAAAACCAAAGTTTCTTTGTTTCCTGACATGTTTGCACAGTCGCCTGATTCCCCGTAATGTACAGATTCCAGATTTATGAGTCTACTCAGCCATAATAAAGCAGCTGAAAGGGAAAACGTTGATTTTCGGGTGTTCAGGGTTTCTAACCCGTTGCTGGTTCAGGTTCTCCCAGTCTGTGGTAAATCATATCTCTGTTTACAGAAGCATCATAAACAGCTTCTACTAATCAGAAGCTATTAGCATGATGCCGCTAAACTGCTAAAAGCAGTGCTAGTTTTTCATTTAGTGCATTAGTATATTTGCTAAGATTTAGCTGACTTTTCTTCCACTAAATTAATTTTATAGGGCTAAATTACTTGGCTGCTTTGTAATCTTATAATTGAATAAAGTTACAAGTTTTTTTTAAACCCATCAGTTCCTGAAGCTTTGCCATGTTGGCTCAACACTCTAGCATTAGCTTCTGCTAAATACCATGCTAGTTTAGTTCTTTACTGTTAGCTTCTGAAAAATACAGTAAGTTTAGCAAGATAGTGGTAACTTTCAGGAGATAACATGTTGGTTTAGCTGGTTAGCATTAGCAGAACTGTTTTTCATTAGCTGGTTAATTAATCTTATAAACTCAGGAGATAGAGCAGCGAAAAAGTACTTAGAGCCTTAAAATTATTGTAGTTCTGCTTGTTTCAATGTTTCAGATCATCAGACGGCTTCAATAACAATACAAAGAACAGAGTTAATAGAGTTGATTTTAGTTTATAATTGAGCTTAGTTTATTTCCCAGCAGCTGTTTTAGGTTTGGTTTTTACTGCAGCTTTCATTTTTCAGACGAGAAGAAACAAAATTAAAACCAGCTGTTTTATGTTTGAAGTCGTGGATCCAGCCTCTAACCTCAGAGTCCTGGAGGTGGCCTCCAAGTCCATGCGGGTGAGCTGGGACGCCTCCGGTGGAGACGTTTCAGGCTACCGGGTCCAGATGATCCCCATGATGGCCGGCAGCAAGCAGCAGGATCTGTACCTGGCCTCGTCTCAGACCTCCGTGGTGGTCCGAGACCTTTCTCCTGACACCGTGTACCAAGTCAACATTTTCACCATGAAGGACCTGATGTCCAGCGAGCCTGTGACGGTCATGCAGACAGAACCTGTTAAAGTCTCCCTGGGTGCGTCCATGAAAATGTCTGACACTCTTAAAGCTGAAGCAATCTTTTCTTGTTGTTTGAGTTGAGTTTAAAGAAGCACTTCGTGTTTGTGGTTTCCATCCAGAGTGTTCTCTTGGGGTGGATGTGCAGGCCGACGTTGTTCTCCTGGTTGATGGATCCTACAGCATCGGTGTGACAAACTTTGCCAAAGTGAGAGCTTTCCTTGAAGTTCTGGTGAACACCTTTGACATCGGCCCAAACAAAGTCCAGATCGCCTTGGTGCAGTACAGCAGGGACTCACACACCGAGTTCTACCTGAACACTCACCAAGACGTCAACGCCGTGGTCAAGGCGGTGAGGACTTTCCCGTATCGCGGCGGCTCTACCAACACCGGCAGGGCCATGACCTACGTCAGGGAGAAGATCTTCCAGACCAGCAGGGGGGCACGTGCCAACGTCCCCCGCGTCACCATCCTCATCACCGACGGCAAGTCCGACGCTTTCAAAGATCCAGCCACCAAGCTGAGGAACGCCGATGTGGGAGATCTTTGCTGTGGGCGTTAAAGACGCCGTACGAAGTGAGCTGGAGGCTATCGCCAACACCCCCGCAGAGACTCACGTCTACACGGTGGAGGACTTCGACGCCTTCCAGAGAATATCCAAGGAGCTGACGCAATCCATCTGCCTGAGGATCGAGCAGGAAATCCGCAGCATCTTCCAGAGAAGTAAGTGATATTTACGCTTTACGCAGACAACGCTGTGGTGTGTCCAGATCTGCTTGCAGACGGGGGTCAGCAAGCAGGCGCTGGAGCTGGAGAGGTGTGAGGAGATCCTGAAGAAGCTGATGAAGTTTGGCTACAGCTGGCCCTTCAGGGAGCCCGTTTCTCTGGACTACCTGGATATATCCAGAGTAGCAAGAAGCAGAGTTAGATCTTCATTATAGCTTCATTTATGAAAATTCTGAATAGGTTTATAATTTTCCTAAAGCTACAGAGGCCATTTTAAGTCTCACGTTTGTCAGGTGTTGCACACACTCTCTATTAATATCTCTACATCATTGTTTTGGGTCTGGTTTCAGAAAGGTTTTCATCTGAACCAACATAAATACACACTTGAATGTTGTTTTGAACCAAACCTACAGGGGGCAGTGTAGCGCTAAGCTGCTTTTGAACATCAGAATATAAAGTTATTAATACATAAAACGATGGATGCGGAAATATTAGTGCATTATTTGTCGTAGAGTGTAATCTGTTTTTTCCAGGAACACAAATACAGTTTTCTCAAATCTGCTCATGGTTTTTATTAGTGTTACGACCCGTCTAGGGGTCCAGGCCATAACACGAGTGATGCATCCTCTTCAGATCTCGAGCGACCAACACACACAAAGTTAAACATTTTATAACGTTTTTTTATTGTAAAAAGATGTATTTTTTTTTGTAGACTAAAATATTACAGCTAGAGGAGCAGATGTCTGCAGAGTGAGCTAAATGCCGAAAACAACAAACAAAAGAAACTATCTAAATGTTAACCAACTTACCTAATCGACAATAAAGAAACCAAATAACAAAAACTTACCTCCCTAAATAATAAAACAGGAGAAAACTAATGTAAACATAAACGGCAGCTCAGTCCTACGAACTCCAGAACGTTACATGATTTTACAAACAGCCGGTCGAGATGAGCTGAGGACGGACGACAGGAAGCGCGTCTTCAGCTTTTATATCCGTCACCTCCGGGAGGCCACCAACAGGACGTCCGTCGTCTTCCGTCAACCAATCAGAGGCAGGCACCTGCACACTCAGATTTGCATAATTACGACACCAGTCATAACATGAGTGATCATTTTTAGTGATATAAAACTCTACTATAAAAATGTATCTGTGTATGTTTGGACTAGGCCTGAGTGGAAATGGTGAACAATCACCTGTTTGGTTCTTTCTGATTCTATTAAACCGGCAGATTCTGGGTTAACATCTCACAGCTGTGCTGTCGTCACGCAGGATTATGACCTCTGACCTCTGCTATAGTCTGAGGAATTACAGGCCGGTTCCAGAGCCAGACGTCCACCTGAGCCGATGCTCTGGTTGGCTGGAAACAGATGTGGAACCGTCACAACATCTGTTCTGGGGGTTTAGCAGCGGAGCGTGTAAAGTGAAACATGTCCATGTGTTGCTGTGCGGCGGCGGTTTATTAGCACCCAGAGGAATGCGGGTCAGAACCATGTTCCTCCAGTCAGAGCCAGACTGTCCCGTAATGATCTGGTCTCCTGCTCAGTGAATTATCAGTCTGTGTGGAATGATGTCAGAACAGCAGGTGATGTTAGTGGTCTGGACCCGGTTCAGGACCCGGTTCACATGAACCCGGTGCAGGACCCGGTTCAGGTCCGAATGAAGGTCCTTTCTATTGTATTTTTCTATTTCAGTTCCCTCATCCTCTCTGACTGCTGCTCTTGATCTGATCTGTAAAATCGCGTCTGTTTCTGCTGACATGCTGGTCGAAGAGGCTCCAGGTTTTTTCTGCTGGTTTTAAATCTGGCTGCTCATCAGCGAGAAGGCCTGTTTCTGTTTGATTTAATAAAACCAAAGAATGTGAATCCTTGCTTAAGTTTCAAAATGAAGCTTTTTCTGCTTCCACATCTGGTGTGTGGAATGAGGAACGTTTCCACACAAAGAACCTTTTCCAAGAACCAGAGTCGTTTTCTGGACCCACCAGAGAGACGCCTCATTTCCTGTCCAACCAAACGAACATGGAAACGGCTAAGAGGCCGGAACCTGTGCAGAAAACAGCCAGTGAGTTCTTCATCAGACATTTGATGACAATGTTCTGAAACACACGTGAAGTCTCCAGGATGGTTGAAACATTTCAGTTTGGAAACGAGGACAGGCCGTCATCTGAGAGCTTCCTTCACCGACAGCAAAAAGTTTCAGTAATATGAGAATGAAGTCGTTACATTAGTCCTTACATCAGCCAGGGAGGCTTTCTGTGCTCCTTACAATCCTTTCACTTTGGCCCATGTGACTTTCATAACAAGTATCTGAAATAATTCAACAGCCAAAACAATTAATCAGAGCCGTAAACAGCAGAAACCCGATCAGCCTTCAGAGCTGCTTTCATGTGTTCAGGCTGCGTTTCCCTGATGTGTGAGACACATGGCCACCTTTTGATCTGAGTCCAGCATGTGGAAACAGTAAAACTGGGTCAAAGTGTTGTTTTTCTGCAGCTGACTCGGTGTCGCCGCCCGTCACGTCTTCCTAAGTAAAAGCCGACTTTGAAGCAGCTTCTTTGTTCTGATGTGATGAGACGCGGCGCGGCGTTCCTGCAGCTGAGGCGGCTCATGCTGATCGCTGATTATGTAATCGTGACATAATGAGGGCTGGATGTGAGCGCAGCGGCGGCGGCCAAGCTGCTGCTGACTGATGGAGCCGTCGAGCCTCCAGGCTCTTCATCTCCATCAGCCGACACCAAAATCAGCCTTTCTACCTCCTGAACTACCGTTTTTGTTTCAGCGCTCCTAAAAGCTCCTAAAAGCTCCTAAAAGCTCCTAAATGTTCCCAGGATTTGTGTTTGTCTCTCTTCTGGTTCGGAGAAAAGCAGCCTCCTAGAATTAGTGAGTTATTGAGACGCTTTACGTTTTCCAGATGAAGCAGAGGTGATTGATGAGGCCAGTTTCTGCCATCATGTGTTCACCGTGCCATGATGGATAAAGACCAGAAGGATAAACTGCAGCCTTCATTATCAGATCTGAAAGGATCCAGTGAAATAAAATCTGCTTTTTATAAGACCATCAAAGCATTTCTCAGTGATGACTTTCAAAGGAAGACTTTATTTTTGTTTTTACTTGAATTATTTAATTCTGAACACTAAGAAGTAAGCTCACCTATTACGTTTTATTGGATAAAGCATCTGTGGCCCACATGCTAAGGAGAAAACCTCTGGCACACATCCAGCTTGTAGTCAGAAAACCCCCAAAATGGCTGAAATTCAGCTTCTGAGAGATGATGGTGTCTGGTTCACATGAGTGGAAATCACAGCTATATGATCCTGACCCGAATCAACTGAATATGTCAGCCAATTTCTAGGTTTGGTGAACTTTATGTCCAGATTTACGAACAGACATCATCAGTTTCACCGGGTTCAAGTGATTTATCTTCTCAAGCCCCAAACGGTGCCTGTACCTTTAATTTTCAGAGAATAACCATCTATTGGAGCACCGGCTACAGAAGTTAGCTACAAATAGCTAATCTGTCATTTCTGAAGGACAATCTGAAAATCACATCCTGTAAACACATGAAACCAAATCTGATGTCTGGAAATATATCTGGAAATTAAAGATAAGATGCAGATGAGATAAAAGTCCGTCTTTGACACATGGTGATATCGACATGGCTAAAGTTAGCGCTTTGGCATTAGCTTCTACTACATACCATTTTAGCTAATGCTTTAGCATTAGCTAAATACGGTGTGAGGGACAGTGAGTTGTGTTAGACAGCGGGATTTATAAAAGTTGGAAATAGCTAGCTTCTTCATGGACCTTCCTGACGTGTCGATCAAACGACCAACTTTCCCTTTCAGCTGAATTAGGGTGTTAGGATTAGGGTGTTAGGATTAGGGTGTTAGGATTAGGGTGTTAGGATTGGGGTGTTAGGATTAGGGTGTTAGGATTAGGGTGTTAGGATTAGGGTGTTAGGATTAGGGTGTTAGGATTAGGGTGTTAGGATTAGGGTGTTAGGATTAGGGTGTTAGGATTAGGGTGTTAGGATTAGGGTGTTAGGATTAGGGTGTTAGGATTAGGGGTTAGGTGTTAGGGGTGTTAGGATTAGGGTGTTAGGATTAGGGTGTTAGGATTAGGGTGTTAGGATTAGGGTGTTAGGATTGGGTGTTAGGATTTAGGGTGTTAGGATTAGGTGTTAGGATTGGGTGTTAGGATTGGGTGTTAGGATTAGGGTGTTAGGATTAGGGTGTTAGGATTAGGGTGTTAGGATTGGGGTGTTAGGATTGGGGTGTTAGGATTGGGGTGTTAGGATTGGGGTGTTAGGATTGGGGTGTTAGGATTGGGGTGTTAGGATTGGGGTGTTAGGATTAGGGTGTTAGGATTGGGGTGTTAGGATTGGGGTGTTAGGATTAGGGTGTTAGGATTAGGGTGTTAGGATTGGGGTGTTAGGATTGGGGTGTTAGGATTGGGGTGTTAGGATTAGGGTGTTAGGATTAGGGCCTGTCCAAACAGTCAGTGGACCAACAGGAACACGTCTTACATCATGAAACAAATGTATGTTTTTTTTAAAGTAACTGAAACACTTCTCCCTAAAATAGAAGATAATTACAAACAATCTTGTGACAACAATATAAATGTTGGTAGAGTTTGGTCAGAGTTGTCCATTGTTTTAATAATCTCGCAGTAATCTGTTTTTCAAAATCAAACAAAATCTGATGAATATTTGAAATAAAAACTGTTCTGTTAAAACGGCTTCTGGGTCCATCCGGCCCGGTTCTGTTAGCAGGATGTCTAACTGTACGTCTCTCTCCAGAACTCGTCCAGCCCAGAGCGCTGACCTTCTCTGACGTCGGCTCTAGGAGCTTCAGGACGTCCTGGGAGATCGACGCCACCAACGTGGACTTCTTCTTGGTCCAGTTCAAGCCGGAGGAAGACGCAGAGGGACACTATGTGTCCATGTCTGTCCCAGGGGACTCCCGTACCGCCGTCCTGCCCCACCTCAGCCCTCTGACCCGCTACGAAGTCAGGGTGTCGGCTCAGTACGCCAAAGGGGAGAGCCTCGCAGTGAGCGGCTATGAGACGACCACAGAAGGTACGCACCAGAAAACCACAGCACACACACTGCTTCTGTTTGACCTCTGACCCACTGACCGGACAGTTTATCATTCGGTCTGTGGAAAGTGTGTTGTTCAGGGTCAGACTTTGACTAGGCTGAAGGAAGCTAATGAAAGCTAACAGCTAACAGCAGTGGCATTTTGCACTGACTGCAGCTTCTGACCCGGTTCTGTTTGGATGTGGAGTCGGATCAGCAGTGGTGGGGATGGGATGTGACTCACTTTGTTATTATCATTTCAGTCGTTTACGTCCAGATTCTTCTTCTGGGCGACTGTGGCAGTATGGTAGAGTAGTAGTCTAGCAATCGGAGGGTTGTCGGTTCGATTCCAGTTTCCTCCTGCCACATGTCGATGTGGCTCAGTGCAAAGCACTGAACCCCAAACTGCGAATGTGTGAATAGAGTGAAGCGCTTTGACTCAGTCTATTTACCATTATGCTGCTGAATTAAGACACCCGTCTCACGTTGATGATGTCATCGTCGATAAAACATTTAAATTTGGACGCTTGGAAACGGTTCACATCATAATTCGATCCATAGAGCGGATCAGTTCTGATTCTTTTCAGGATCAGGTTCTTCAGATTACTGGGACCCGACCGGACCGGCTCGTCCTGCTGTGAGCCTTTCATGTGAGGAATGTAAACGGGTCGGGTTGTTTTGATCCGGTTCAGGTCGGGGCGACCGCGTTTGGCCCAACAGAACCAACCGAGCCACTGAAGCTCCGGCTGGAACGTTTCCAGACTCTTTGAAGGTTCTGCTGGGTTTCCAGTAAACTGTCTGACAGTTTTAGAGCGGCGCCGTTTCCTCCTCCTAGTCGGGTCCAGAACTAAAAGCCCGGTGAGTGGTGCTGACCCGCAGCCAGTAAAAGCAAACTTTAATCTTTAAAGCTGTAAACGTCCCAATTGGAGGAGATCCTCTGGATGACCTTTGCCCTCCGACCTCCGGGGAGGGGCGGGGCCTCACATATCGCTGACCTCCTGACCCAGGAGGCTCCGGCTCGGCTCCGGCTCAGCTCTGGCTCGGCTCCGGCTCGGCTCCGGCTCGGCTCCGGCTCGGCTCTGGGTCGGCTCCGGGTCGGCTCTGGCTCAGCTCCGGCTTGGCTCCGGCTCAGCTCTGGGTCGGCCCCGGGTCGGCTCTGGCTCGGCTCCGGGTCGGCTCTGGCTCAGCTCCGGCTTGGCTCCGGGTCGGCTCTGGCTCGGCTCCGGGTTGGCTCTGGCTCAGCTTCGGCTTGGCTCCGGGTCGGCTCTGGCTCGGCTCCGGGTCGGCTCTGGCTCGGCTCCGGCTCGGCTCTGGCTCAGCTCCGGCTCAGCTCTGGCTCGGCTCTGGCTCGGCTCTGGCTCGGCTCCGGCTCGGCTCCGGCTCAGCTCTGGGTCGGCTCCGGGTCGGCTCTGGGTCGGCTCCAGGTCGGCTCTGGCTCAGCTCCGGCTTGGCTCCGGATCGGCTCTGGCTCGGCTCCGGGTCGGCTCTGGCTCAGCTCCGGCTTGGCTCCGGGTCGGCTCTGGCTCGGCTCCGGGTCGGCTCTGGCTCGGCTCCGGCTCGGCTCTGGCTCAGCTCCGGCTCAGCTCTGGCTCGGCTCTGGCTCGGCTCTGGCTCGGCTCCGGCTCGGCTCCGGCTCAGCTCTGGGTCGGCTCCGGGTCGGCTCTGGCTCGGCTCCGGCTCGGCTCTGGCTCAGCTCCGGCTCAGCTCTGGCTCGGCTCTGGCTCGGCTCCGGCTCGGCTCCGGCTCAGCTCTGGGTCGGCTCCGGGTCGGCTCTGGCTCGGCTCCGGCTCGGCTCCGGCTCAGCTCTGGGTCGGCTCCGGCTCAGCTCTGGGTCGGCTCCAGGTCGGCTCTGGCTCAGCTCCGGCTTGGCTCCGGATCGGCTCTGGCTCGGCTCCGGGTCGGCTCTGGCTCAGCTCCGGCTTGGCTCCGGGTTGGCTCTGGCTCGGCTCCGGGTCGGACCAGACCGCCCTGACAGGCAGCAGACGGCGGCATCGGGGTGGGCCAGTCGCCATTGTAACCAGTAGACGATCTCCCTCCTCCAGACGGCCGCAGCTCTGCTCCGGTTCTGGTCCCGGTTCTGGTCTGGATTCTGTCCCTGGCCCAGCTCTGGGAACAAGCAGCCATGTTGTGTAATGATCAGTAAGCGAGCTGTAAAATGACTCACTGCCTGATTGAACAGATTTTTTAGCAGCAGTTATTCCAGTAGCAGCTGCTGCTGGAGGCGCTGCTCTCCCAGTTGGCCCAGTATAAACAGCGTGCCGGTCCGCAGGAGCAGCTGGGAGTTGGGTTTCCAGGTCAGCGGAGGAAAGTTTCCGCTCTGATGCACAGGAAAGATTATTTCTGGTTTTCTGCAGCTGGAAGCCGGTTTGGATCCGCGATGCGTTTTGTGAAACGTAGGTTTCATCCCAGAGTAACGACATTTATCTCTACTGTCCCGTTTATGGAAACGGACCAGCTGGGAGGTTTCTGAGGCGGGTCCAAATGCAGACACGATGGACATGAAATAATGTCAAGAAGAAGAGCAACACGGCTCTGTTTGCCTTTCTGGTTGTGGGTCGGGTCCAGAAGCAGTTCTGCTGTGAACAGTCTGGTTCTGGAGGAACCGTGTTCTGGTTCTGGAGGAACCGTGTTCTGGTTCTGGAGGAACCGTGTTCTGGTTCTGGAGGAACCGTGTTCTGGTTCTGGAGAACCCGTTCCCCCTAAACTCATGGTTGCTATGGTGATTGGCACCGTTTTTTTCAACTTAACGAAATCACAAATGAATTTATTCAGCAGGTTAATTGATGTGTCGCCTTTATAAAAACAGCTGTGTTTCTGTTTTGATAAAAAGTTTGCTGGTTTTCACTTCAGAAAGAAGTCATCAGATTTGTGGCTCTTTTTTTGTCTTTTGCTAGTTGCTAGCGGTGTCTGAAAAGTTGCTACATGTTAGCAGCAGTGCTTCCTGACCACGCCCCTTGGGGTCTCTTGGCTCCTCCCACTTTGCTGACGGGATTAGTGACCTGTAAAGTTAGTGCTCGCCATGGTGATTCCCATCAGTTTGTCTGTAGATTTTCCTCATGCACAAACCGGGCTCAAACAGAACCTTCAGGTCCAGTTTCTCCAGAACCAATCAGCTGACTTTAATGGGAGTGTGTGAAAGTGGGCGTGGCTCTCTGTGTTCTGGGCTCTGATTGGGCAGGAACCTCTTGCAGTGGCTGGAAGGAGAACTGAACTGAAGAGGGTTAAATCCAGAAGGGTCTGAAGATTTAATTGGGTCAGAACCAACATCATCTGTACGCTGGACATTCTGGGGAAATTCAGGAAAAAACTCAAAGTTAAACAGTAAAATGGATCAGAATGATTAAACTGAATGATGTTTCTGATGTTTTTCAGAGTGTCTTTTGGAGTAATAACTTATTGTTGACATGCAGAGCTAAAATAGATTTATTATAATGTCTTGATCTGTGCTTAAACATGTAATGTTGACATATGAGGCAAACATTCATGTTTAATCTCTTAATGACTGAGTCAGTGGAGTTTTAAAGGGTGGCCCTGAGACGCTGATCCTTTAAAACGATCAGCTTTTATGGCCTGTGAAGCTCAGCTAATGGTTGAGGTTTACAGTAATTGCTCTAATAAACTCTGGCAGCATACCAAATCCTAAATCACGCCAGTCTGAGTCTAAGGCTGCAGCAGAGAGCTGCAGCAGAGAGCTGCAGCAGAGAGCTGCTGCAGAGAGCTGCTTCAGTGATCTGGCTTCACAGACGCACAGGCTCTGCCTTCATTAAGGGAGGGTTACCTGTTAAACCACAGGGTGAAGCACTGAGCATGCTCAGTAAGTGTTAGCACTCTATAGGAGTTAGCGCTCTGTAGGAGTTAGCGCTCTGTAGGTGTTAGCACTCTATAGGAGTTAGCACTCTATAGGAGTTAGCACTCTGTAGGAGTTAGCGCTCAGTAGGTGTTAGCACTCTATAGGAGTTAGCACTCTGTAGGAGTTAGCGCTCAGTAGGTGTTAGCACTCTATAGGAGTTAGCCCTCAGTAGGCGTTAGCGCTCAGTAGGTGTTAGCACTCTATAGGAGTTAGCGCTCAGTAGGTGTTAGCACTCTATAGGAGTTAGCGCTCAGTAGGCGTTAGCGCTCAGTAGGTGTTAGCACTCTATAGGAGTTAGCGCTCAGTAGGTGTTAGCACTCTATAGGAGTTAGCGCTCTGTAGGAGTTAGCGTTCAGTACGTGTTAGCACTCTATAGGAGTTAGCGCTCAGTAGGCATTAGCACTCAGTAGGTGTTAGCACTCTATAGGAGTTAGAGGTCAGTAGGAGTTAGCGGTCTGTAGGAGTTAGTGGTCAGTAGGTGTTAGCACTCTATAGGAGTTAGCGGTCTGTAGGAGTTAGTGGTCAGTAGGTGTTAGCACTCTATAGGAGTTAGCGCTCTGTAGGAGTTAGCGCTCTGTAGGTGTTAGCACACTATAGGAGTTAGCGCTCAGTAGGAGTTAGCGGTCAGTAGGTGTTAGCACTCTATAGGAGTTAGCACTCTGTAGGAGTTAGCGCTCAGTAGGTGTTAGCACTCTATAGGAGTTAGCGCTCAGTAGGCGTTAGCGCTCAGTAGGTGTTAGCACTCTATAGGAGTTAGCACTCTGTAGGAGTTAGCGCTCAGTAGGTGTTAGCACTCTATAGGAGTTAGCGCTCAGTAGGAGTTAGCGGTCAGTAGGTGTTAGCACTCTATAGGAGTTAGCACTGTAGGAGTTAGCGCTCAGTAGGTGTTAGCACTCTATAGGAGTTAGCCTCAGTAGGCGTTAGCGCTCAGTAGGTGTTAGCACTCTATAGGAGTTAGCGCTCAGTAGGTGTTAGCACTCTATAGGAGTTAGCGCTCAGTAGGCGTTAGCGCTCAGTTGGTGTTAGCACTCTATAGGAGTTAGCGCTCAGTAGGAGTTAGCGGTCAGTAGGTGTTAGCACTCTATAGGACTTAGCACTCTGTAGGAGTTAGCGCTCAGTAGGTGTTAGCACTCTATAGGAGTTAGCGCTCAGTAGGCGTTAGCGCTCAGTAGGTGTTAGCACTCTATAGGAGTTAACGCTCTGTAGGAGTTAGCGCTCTGTAGGTGTTAGCACTCTATAGGAGTTAGCACTCTGTAGGAGTTAGCGCTCAATAGGTGTTAGCACTCTATAGGAGTTAGCGCTCAGTAGGAGTTAGCGGTCAGTAGGTGTTAGCACTCTATAGGAGTTAGCACTCTGTAGGAGTTAGCGTTCAGTAGGTGTTAGCACTCTATAGGAGTTAGCGCTCAGTAGGTGTTAGCACTCTATAGGAGTTAGCGCTCAGTAGGTGTTAGCACTCTATAGGAGTTAGCGCTCAGTAGGCGTTAGCGCTCAGTTGGTGTTAGCACTCTATAGGAGTTAGCGCTCAGTAGGAGTTAGCGGTCAGTAGGTGTTAGCACTCTATAGGACTTAGCACTCTGTAGGAGTTAGCGCTCAGTAGGTGTTAGCACTCTATAGGAGTTAGCGCTCAGTAGGCGTTAGCGCTCAGTAGGTGTTAGCACTCTATAGGAGTTAACGCTCTGTAGGAGTTAGCGCTCTGTAGGTGTTAGCACTCTATAGGAGTTAGCACTCTGTAGGAGTTAGCGCTCAATAGGTGTTAGCACTCTATAGGAGTTAGCGCTCAGTAGGAGTTAGCGGTCAGTAGGTGTTAGCACTCTATAGGAGTTAGCACTCTGTAGGAGTTAGCGTTCAGTAGGTGTTAGCACTCTATAGGAGTTAGCGCTCAGTAGGTGTTAGCACTCTATAGGAGTTAGCGCTCAGTAGGCGTTAGCGCTCAGTAGGTGTTAGCACTCTATAGGAGTTAGCGCTCAGTAGGTGTTAGCACTCTATAGGAGTTAGCGCTCAGTAGGTGTTAGCACTCTATAGGAGTTATCGCTCAGTAGGCGTTAGCGCTCAGTAGGTGTTAGCACTCTATAGGAGTTAGCGCTCAGTAGGTGTTAGCACTCTATAGGAGTTAGCGCTCTGTAGGAGTTAGCGCTCAGTAGGCATTAGCACTCAGTAGGTGTTAGCACTCTATAGGAGTTAGAGGTCAGTAGGAGTTAGCGGTCTGTAGGAGTTAGTGGTCAGTAGGTGTTAGCACTCTATAGGAGTTAGCGGTCAGTAGGTGTTAGCACTCTATAGGAGTTAGCGCTCTGTAGGAGTTAGCGGTCAGTAGGTGTTAGCACTCTATAGGAGTTAGCGCTCAGTAGGTGTTAGCACTCTGTAAGTGTTGGCGCTCAGTAGGTGTTAGCGCTCTATAAGAGTTAGCGCTCAGTAGGTGTTAGCGCTCTATAAGAGTTAGCGCTCAGTAGGTGTTAGCACTCTGTAAGTGTTGGCGCTCAGTAGGTGTTAGCGCTCTATAAGAGTTAGCGCTCAGTAGGTGTTAGCACTCTGAGTTAGCGCTCAGTAGGTGTTAGCGCTCTATAAGAGTTAGCGCTCAGTAGGTGTTAGCACTCTGAGTTAGCGCTCAGTAGGTGTTAGCACTCTGTGTTAGCGCTCAGTAGGTGTTAGCGCTCTATAGGTGTTAGCGCTCTGTAAGTCTTAGCGCTCTATAGGTGTAAGCAGTCTGTAAGTGTTAGCGCCCAGTAAGTGATACTGTCCTTCAGCGCCTCCCTAGTGGCCGTCTGGCTGTGATGGGTCCAGGAGGCCTTCCACGTGTTCCTGGGTTTGGGCCACATGGCAGCAGGAGATTCTGATTCTGGCCCCACATAAGGCCCGGTGAGCTCAGCCTGCTGGCCGGAGGTTCTTACTGTGGAGTTCGGACCCGTTCAGAATCTCACCTGGGTCTCGTTACGGAGGTTGTAGGGGAAACGTGCGTTGCGGGCCAGAATCCCCATGTTCCTGACAGATTCCCAGGTTTTATCAAAACGCAGTAAACATGGCTCCCTGAGCAGCTTCTTGGCTCGGCGTTTCGATCGAATCGCCTCGGAAACTCTGACGTCCTCCAGGACCGTCTGGGTCCGGAGGACCGTCTGGGTCCGGAGGACCGTCTGGGTCCGGAGGACCGTCTGGGTCCGGAGGACCGTCTGGGTCCGGTGGACCGTCTGGGTCCGGAGGACCGTCTGGGTCCGGAGGACCGTCTGGGTCCGGTGGACCGTCTGGGTCCGGTGGACCGTCTGGGTCCGGTGGACCGTCTGGGTCCGGTGGACCGTCTGGGTCCGGTGGAGCGGAAAACCTCCCAGTCAGGATCATGTCTGGGGTTCTGCAGAGTGATGTAACAGGAACCTTCCAGAACATTGCTCACAGAACCCGGTCCTCTGGCCCTGGTTCTGCTTCTCCTGTTAACACTTCAGAACTGGTTCTGAATAAAGTTTCTTGAAGTCCATTGAACCCGGCAGAAGCATTCACATCCTTTGGTCTGAACAGAATTCTGCTTCCCAGCAAAGTTCCTCCAAACATTCAACCGATCCGTTTTGGTTCCATTGGATCCGTTTTGGTTCCATTGGATCCGTTTTGGTTCCATTGGACCCGTTTTGGTTCCATTGGATCCGTTTTGGTTCCATTGGACCCGTTTTGGTTCCATTGGATCCGTTTTGGTTCCATTGGACCCGTTTTGGTTCTATTGGACCCGTTTTGGTTCCATTGGACCCGTTTTGGTTCCATTGGACCCGTTTTGGTTCTATTGGACCCGTTTTGGTTCTATTGGACCCGTTTTGGTTCCATTGGACCCGTTTTGGTTCCATTGGACCCGTTTTGGTTCTATTGGACCCGTTTTGGTTCTATTGGACCCGTTTTGGTTCTATTGGACCCGTTTTGGTTCCATTGGATCCGTTTTGGTTCCATTGGATCCGTTTTGGTTCTATTGGACCCGTTTTGGTTCCATTGGACCCGTTTTGGTTCTATTGGACCCGTTTTGGTTCCATTGGACCCGTTTTGGTTCCATTGGACCCGTTTTGGTTCTATTCCTGGAGTTTGGATCGGTTCTTGCCGTCTGTTTTCAGCGTTCAGGAACAGCAGAAGTTTTGCAACGATGGTTCTGTTTGGGTTTTCTGGCTCCGCTGTCCACTGTATGACATCATTCTTTCCATTTTAAAGATATTTTCATCTGCCAGAAGATCTAACTGGTTCCTCTGTTTTGAAGAGACGATGGATTTAAAAATGTTTTTGGCCACTGAGGAACTGGAAGACTGTGACTTTAAGCTTGAAAACATCTGGGATGGGGAGAGAGTTTCACCAAACGAACAAAATCAGATCTAGAACAAACATTATGTTCAGTTTTCAGGCCCAATGTTGATTAAGTTTAGTAAAACTCAACATGCTGGTTTCAGAGGCTGGACCCGCCAAGAACCTGGTCACCAGCGATGTCAGCGCCTCCAGCTTCAGGGCCTCCTGGACCGCGGCGCCCGGAAGGGTCCAGGCCTACAAGGTCTGCTGGAAGTCCCTGTTCTCTGGGGAGCAGGGGGACAAAACTGTCCCAGGGGACGAGACGTCCACCGTCCTGGACGGTCTGAGTCCAGAGACCCGCTATCAAGTGTCTGTGATCGCCGCCTATGACCACAAAGACAGCGAGCCGCTGACCGGGCTGGAGACCACGGACGGTAAGAGGCTCCGCGTGTAGCTACATGTTAGCTGGCTCAGTATGTAGCTAGATGTGTAGCATGCTAAATACTTAGCTTCAAGCTAAATGAAGCAGAAAAAGTAACAGCAAACATTAAGCTAGCTGCATCGAGCTGAAACCAGAGACACAACCATAGAGTTTATTTTCTAATAATTATGACTTCCATAATTTAATGTTGTGATTGTCATGAGTTGTAGTTAAGATGCTTCTTTAAAGGTGTCATTTGTAATGTTTAACTTGAAAATTTAACAGCAATAATTAGCATTATTTAGCCTATCATAAAAGAGAAGACTGGGGATTAATAAAGTCATATTTTTACGGCGATATTCATTGTTTTATAAATGACACACCGACAAACTCAATATTTAGTTACCAAGCTAAATATTTAACTTCAAAGATTAGTTTCAAATAAAGGTTTAGTTCAAAGCTAAATGTTTATCTCTGAGTTCATTGTTTAGTTATTAAAGTAATTATGTAGTTTGAACTTACATCAAATTTCCAGGTCAAAACCTAAATTTTTACTTTGAAGATGGTTGTTTATCAAGCTAAATATTTAACCCTGGGCAATTAGCTTTGAGCTAAGTATTTAGCATAGCAGAAAGTACCATTAGCGCTGTAATGTAGCGCTACGCAGAGCTAATGCAGTTGAACATGTTAGCATAAATAATTGCTGTGTATTTTCTCTCAGAGCGCGGCTAACTCCCCTTCTTTAACAACCCTGCTGCTAAGCTAACCAGCTGTCAGAAAACCTGGAGCTGCTGCTGCGTTTCCACAGCTCTGCCTGGTGAAAAAATGTCACTAGCAGGCTTGGTGCTAATCACATGCATTCATATGAATCTATAATTTAACAGATATTATACCAAATCAATAAAATATTCATATTAATAATAAATATTGGTCCTGGTCAATGTTCCCTCTAATGTTTCATGTGTCTGGGCGTACACACAAGCTTCCTGAACACACTGAGGACCACTGTGAGCATCATCAGTGTACACGGCGTGGCCACTGAGGACCACTGAGCATCATCAGTGTACACGGCGTGGCCACTGAGGACCACTGAGCATCATCAGTGTACACGGCGTGGCCACGCACAAGTATCATAAATCTGGGATCATAGAAAGTTGCATGGCTTATTAAAAAAATCAAATTACATCAGCAATTTTCATTGGTTTGCTTTTAATTTAAGTGATTTGCTCAATTAAAATAATAAAGGAAAGAAAACATTGCTGTTCATGAGATGCATGCTATAAGTAAGAGTCCTGCTTCAGCCAGGGTGAGAAATGAGACATTACACCTTTCAGACATAAATGTTTGTTCATATTAAAACATTCACGTTTTGCACAATGAAATCTTTTCTGTAGCTTGTGATGCAGTATAAATTCTTGTAAAATATTTAATTACAGTTTTTTTCACGTCTGCCCTTCTCACTTCTCCAGTGGTTGTTCACTTAGCCCAGGTTGATGGTCAGTCTGCTTCTTGCTTTATGTGCTTGAATTCAGCATATTGACTGATAATGGCCTCCATAATCTGTGGGTGGAGGAGAATGGCCTCATACTTCTTTGCCAGTGTACAAATGTCTGCTTATCCATAGTCAAAAGTCTGAACTCAACATTTCAGTATCAAATGCAGACCATTCCTTTCATTTGATTTGATTCCATTTGATCTTAGAAGAAGTGCATTTCTTTTTTTTTACTTTGGCTTGGTGAGTGGATGTCCCACTAGACATGATAAGCTGATGGCTTTCACGTTTCTTAACTCTACCGCTCTATTCTCACCTGCACGGCCATATGACCAAGGCACGTAACCCACGTAGCGAAAGTGAACCGTATCGTATCATTGGCTGGATTCCTGTCACTCACTGAGTTCGATCGCAAAGTAGTACGGAAAAAAAAAAAAAATATTGGTCCATAGTCAAAACTGATGTCTGAGCTCAATGTCCACTTTACGTTGGACTTTATTTTATGCGCTACATAGATTTTCTTGTGCACTGAGAAGATGTGAGCAGTGCGCAGGCGCAGCTTAGAGGGAACATTGGTCCTGGTGTTGTGTAGATAAGTTTTCTCACACTGTGCGTTAGCTCCTCATGATGGGACACACTATGTAGATTTTTGGAAAAAAAGGTCACTCTGATCTATTTTATAGGAAATTCATAACATTAAATTTGTAAAAGTGTATGAATACTTTCTGGTGATTAACTTTTTGAAAACAGACGTATTATGAGCTTTAAGAGTTAAAAAACTGCAGCTGAGAGAAGTTTAGAGTCTGACTGTGTCTCCCAATAAAATCCTTCCAGGATGAAATGAGGCATTTAGAGACCGTGGGAGCAATAACAGTCCATACCGCAGCGTTCCCCCGCAGAGCTTCTTAATCACTTCCAGATGCATCACAACGCCTCAGCTGTTCCAGGTCCATTGCTCAAAACCTGGGGACATTAACCTGTCCCGGTTAATGTCCCGCTGCAGCCTGAGGGAGAGGACGATTTCACCAGGGCCAGTACTTCATGCAGAGAACTGAGGATCTGTGGTGTTTGTGTCCCCAGCGTCTCCAGCAGCCAAGACTCTGAGGGTGTCCCACGAGACGGAGCGGACCATGAAGGTCACATGGAAACCGGCTCCGGGGAACGTCCTCAACTACCGTCTGAAGTACGTCTCCGTGGACGGAGGCAAAGAGGTGGTCCTGAAGCTGCCAGGGACGGCGGCGTCCACCGTCCTGAAGCGCCTGCAGCCCGACACGTCCTACAGCGTCTCCGTCCTGCCCGTCTACAAGCGCGGGGACGGAAAAGCAAGGCAAGGAGTAGGAACGACACGTACGTTGGTCCGAGATTCAGCCTCACCAAGAGACACGTCCACAGAGACACATCCATAGAGACACAGAGACACGTCCACAGAGACACAGCGACACGTCCACAGAGACACAGCGACACGTCCACAGAGACACACATCCATAGAGACACGTCCACAGAGACACACATCCATAGAGACACGTCCACAGAGACACACATCCATAGAGACACGTCCACAGAGACACACATCCATAGAGACACGTCCACAGAGACACATCCATAGAGACACGTCCACAGAGACACACATCCATAGAGACACGTCCACAGAGACACACATCCATAGAGACACGTCCACAGAGACACACGTCCACAGAGACACGTCCATAGAGACATATCCACAGAGACATCCTCAGAGACATGTGTCCACAGAGCCGTAGAACTAGATACTGTAGATCCGGGTGGCGTCTCTGTCCTCCTGTTTGTCATCAGATGCTGCAGGAATCAAAGTTTCTCTGGTCAGACGTCCGTCTCCGGTTCTGGAAATGTTCTGCGATTCGGCTGCTTTTTCTAATCCTTTGTCTCTACAGACAAGTTGGCAGATTCTTTATTCCCAGGCCTCCTCTGTGCTCCTCCCGCCCAGCAGGAGGTCCTGATTCCTCCTCCTCTGTCCCTTGCAGTGCCGGCCTTCAAGGCCCCCAGGAACCTGCTGACCTCTGAACCCACTAAGACCAGCTTCAGGGTTTCGTGGGACCCCGCTCCGGGGGACGTGCGGGGCTACAAGGTGACCTTTTACCCCTCTGGGGACGTCGTGGACCTGGGAGAGCTCATGGTGGGTCCGTACGACAACACCGTGGTTCTGGAGGAGCTCAGGTACGCTCACCTGGTTAGAAAGGCTCATAAGTATACATACAGGCTCTGACGTGTCCCACTATGTGACTTTTATAACAAATATTTGCCTCTTATGATAATAAATTCAGCTACACGGTCAACAAGTCATCGCAATAAACAATAATAATGTTGTTTTGAGAGCATTTTCCAGCAATCAATACTAATTATTAATGACAATAATTTGATTGTCAAAGATCAATAAACTTTAAACTAATAAACATTTAACTGGAATTGGAAAACATTTTAAATATCCAGAATAAGTAAGTAAATATGCAATAAATTATTAAGTCGATGTTAACAAAATGATGTCTTTTGCTGTCTGCTAGTTGACAGCTGGCATGAATGCTAAGGCTAATTAGCATAGCCACAGTTCTTCTGAACAGTAAGTGGTTTCTCCTCCGTTAGCATGTTTAGCAGCAGCAGCATAAGGTTGGTTGACAGCACTCAGCCCCACCTCTTGGCTCTGATTGGTTGTTTTTGGTCCAGGTCTTAGGACAGCAAACCAAACTGTCATGATGTGGTGAAATGAATATGTAAAAAAGCTTTTTTAGTTTTTAATAAACCTTTCAAATGAAGAGACCTGCTTCCTTTTCATCTACCAGAGGTCAGAGCTTTGGGATCATCTCTCTGTGTTCATTGTTCCACTTGATGCTGATGCTGCCACCGCCGTGCCTTACAGCTGCTCCTCTTTAGTTGGACTCCAAACATGTTTCCTGAAAGTTGATGATTTTTCATCCAGAGAAACGGTCGGCGTTTCTCTGGATGAAACGCCGACCGTTTGGTCATCCTCATGGTGTGGCTTGGTGGTGGCAGCATCATGCTGAAGGAGTGGGTCCGGCTGGGTTCTGAACCCAAACAGTGATTGGGATGAAAGTTTTCCTGAAGCTCCACTCCGCTCTGTCAGGGAACAGGAAGTGATGTCATTTGTCTCCCTGCAGGGCGGGAACCAAGTACTCTGTGGCTGTTTTTGGGATGTTTGACGGCGGCGTGAGCTCGCCGCTGGCCGGGGAGGAGAAAACCACTCTGATGGACGAACCGGAACCGGAGCCTCTGGATCCCTCCGGTAAAACCAGATCATCCTCCTCACGCCACTTCCTGTCAGAACCAGGTGCTGCCGCTTCACTTCCTGTCTCTGGCCATCTGCCGGGCGGTTTCCTCCGGTCAGGCCAGTTGGTTTGGGGATTGCTGATTGAAACTTGGTGCAGATTTCAGGTTCTGCTTTAAAGTGCTTCCTTTAGCATTGATCTGTGGCCTATACAAAACATTTTTTGCACAGCGCCATTCTTACATAGCAAGCTTTTTTAGGGCCTCTGTCTCTTTAAATCTAAAAGAGCTGCTGCTTGCTACGCCCTCAACTCAATGTTTACACCTAAAAATGGCTGCAAATAGATGTGCAACTTTACAACTGTACATCTTTGAAAAGCATCAGTGGAGCCTCCTGCACAACCACACAGAAAGCAGCAACTCAACAAGTCCAGCAGCCATTGTATAGTGAATACCAGCTGACCAAACATGCGATCCAGCTTGGGTTGCTAGGTAACAGGCTGTGTGACCTAAGAGGTTTTTGAAGCGGCTCGTTTTCCAGAAACCAAAGAAGGTGAACTTCCTGCCATGAAGCAGCTGGGTGTTCTTTAGAAGCAGTTTGAACTGCACTCATAAAAACAAGCAGCTTTTGTTAACCTCCAGTTAATCTGAAGCAGGTGAGCTGCTGCAGACGCAGGATTTTGTTTCTCAGTGCTCCTCATGTATGGAAACCCTATAGGGCCAAAAAACATGCAGCATTTCATTTATATGTCACATGTAAAGTTTTTCAACGTTCATAACTTCAAGCTAATCACAGACGATTAGTTTTCAAATAATCAAAATACTGCCCCTAGTGGCCAAAATGATTAAACAAAGCTTTCGCTTTAAGAAAAACAGAAGTGTCATATAAAAATACATTATTAAGCCTACAAATATGTTCACTCTTTACTCAGGAGGGACAATATAAAATATATATATTAGTGAAAAATGCTTAAAATCATTCATTTTCTTTATTTGACGTCTCGTTTGGAGAGAATGTAGAAAAACTAAAGGAGTTTGTTTTTATTACTAAAACATTTTTTTGTTTAAATCAGAATAGTTTCCGTCCTGACTGGACGTGTGTTTATGTGATGATCCTCAGACCGCTGGATCTGCACCAAGTTCCTGTCAGATGCTTCAGACCTGCTGCTGCTTTCAAGCTTTACAGGAAACTGTGGGGTTGCTGGTTCTGTTCCAGCGGCGCCAGAGTGACTGCAGAGCGCCTGGTTCTGCAGGGCAGAGCGGCAGCGCTGTGTGTAACGCCAGGCGTCCGGCGGCGTGCCGTCCTGCAGAGGGACGAGCCGATGTTTTCTCTCTTGCAGGTCTGTGAAGGAGCGCCGAGCGTTCGCCGCTGCTGCAGGACAACGCGGCCGACCTGCTGGACACACCGGACCTGCTGCAGCAACATGAACTGTCACTGCTTTATATGATGTCACTGAATCATCTGTAAAGTGATTGGTTGTGATCTGCAGCTTCTCTTCTTCTCCTTCTTCTTCTTCTTCTTCTCTTCTTCTTCTTCTTCTCTGGGATTACAAAAATCCCACAGCATTATTCACACACTGTCATGCAGAGAAGACAGTTTAAACAGATCAGAGAGGAATCGTCTCATTAAAGACGAGTGAAAATCTTTAGAATGATCCAACATGGCGGCTGAGATCCTCTGAGCTCCAGTGAACCGACCGGTTCTAGTCGGCCCATGTGACGCCGGCTCGCCTCGTGTCTCTGCAGACAGCCAGTGCCGGACGTCGGCGAAGGCCGACATCGTCCTGCTGGTGGACGGCTCCTGGAGCATCGGACGCATCAACTTCAAAACCATCCGCAACTTCATCGCCCGCATGGTCGGCGTGTTCGACATCGGCCCCGACAACGTCCAGATCGGTAACCGCCCCTTGCCTTCATGCCGCCGTTTGAAGCTTAGCAACATTTTGCAGCGTCAGAATAATCCCAGGATAATCCCAGAATAATCTCAGAATAATCCCAGTATAATCCCAGTAGAATCCCAGAATAATCCCAGAATAATCCCAGTATAATCCCAGAATAATCCCAGAATAATCCCAGTATAATCCCAGAATAATCACAGTATAATCCCAGAATAATCACAGTATAATCCCAGTATAATCCCATAGGTCCTTGGTTCGGTCAGCAGATTACTCATCATCAGGACGTTCAATCATTCAGTTAAAGATACTTTATTGATCCCAACATGAATCGTAGCTGCTGCTGAAGCTTTACGTTTCCACTTTGATGCTTCAACATTTCAGAGCCGAAAGTCATCTGTATAGAAAAGGTCAGAGGTCAGGGGTCGGGGTCAGGGTGTTGTTGTTAACTGATGGTTCTGTTTGTCCTGCAGCTTTGGCCCAGTACAGTGGCGACCCGAGAACCGAGTGGCACCTGAACACACACCCAACCCGAGAGTCACTGCTGAAGGCCGTCAACGAGCTGCCGTACAAAGGAGGGAACACCATGACAGGTGAGGGAACACCTGGAGGAGGGAACACGGGGGAGGGAACACCTGGAGAAGGGAACACCATGACAGGTGAGGGAACACCTGGAGGAGGGAACACGGGGGAGGGAACACCTGGAGAAGGGAACACCATGACAGGTGAGGGAACACCTGGAGGAGGGAACACGGGGGAGGGAACACCTGGAGAAGGGAACACCATGACAGGTGAGGGAACACCTGGAGGAGGGAACACGGGGGAGGGAACACCTGGAGAAGGGAACACCATGACAGGTGAGGGAACACCTGGAGGAGGGAACACGGGGAGGGAACACCTGGAGAAGGGAACACCATGACAGGTGAGGGAACACCTGGAGGAGGGAACACGGGGGAGGGAACACCTGGAGGAGGGAACACCATGACAGGTGAGGGAACCTCTGGAGGAGAGAACACGGGGAGAGGGAACATCTGGAGGAGGGAACACCATGACAGGTGAGGGAACCCCTGGAGGAGGGAACACGGGGAGAGGGAACACCTGGAGAGGAAACACCATGACAGGTGAGGGAACACCTGGAGGAGGGAACACGGGGGGAGGGAACACCTGGAGGAGGGAACACGGGGGGAGGGAACACCTGGAGGAGGGAACACGGGGGAGGGAACACGGGGGAGGGAACACCTGGAGGAGGAAACACGGGGGGAGGGAACCCCTGGAGGAGGGAACACCTGGAGGAGGGAACACCTGGAGGAGGGAACACGGGGGGAGGGAACACCTGGAGGAGGGAACACCTGGAGGAGGGAACACCTGGAGGAGGGAAACACGGGGGGAGGGAACCCCTGGAGGAGGGAACACCTGGAGGAGGGAACACCTGGGAAATGCTTTAAGTAATAGAAACAGAATTTCTTGAAGAGGTTTACTGAAGAAAGGCTTAGAAAATCCCGAATCGGGAGAATTTTTATGTTACAATTTTGACCTTAATCTTAAAGTGCAGATTTTTAAAAATTCTGTACTTTGAATTCAAAATGTAACTTTAATCTAAAAATGACGATTCCAAGGTTAGGATTTTGACATTATTCAGAATTTTGCCACTGATGTTAAAAATTGCACTTTATTTTTTATCAGTTTTGTTTTATATTTCAGAATTCTGAGATTAAAATCAGAATTGTTCTGAATGCTGAGTTTTAGTGTTGGCGTTGAACTGTAGATGAAGCGTTTTTGACAAGCAGACTTTATTGGCTCTGCAGCACCTCTTCTCTGACCCGGTTCATTCTCTGGTTCTGGTTCTGACTCAGTGAAAGTGACGCAGAGGAAGTTCTGGCTCCAAGCAGAACCGGGTGTTAAATGTTGCCACATGTTGGTTTTATGGCAGCGCAGGACGTTTTCATGGCGGTGATTTATTTTCTCTGAGAATGAGTTAATTATGACCCGGATGTTGTCGGTGTTCTGGATGTTCTGGTTTGTCTGGTTAACCTGTTCCCTTTTTGGACCGGCACTGCCGGTTCTGTTCAACAACATTTAAAATAATCTTTCCAGTCTGCTGCAGTTTGACAGCCGGATTAAGATGGTGAATCTCCTTCAAACCTTCAAAATAAAAGTGCTTAACATATATATACCATAAAAATATAATATTTTTGCTTAGATTCCGACGACATGGACAAAAAATTATCACAATATTCTAATTTAACAATTTTTATAATTAGTTTAAATACAAAATAAAGTTTCAGTTAGTAGAGCTAAAGTTTATGGTAAGTGCTTTAGCATTAGCTCCTGTTACGTATCATGTTGGTGTAGCGCTTTAGCGTTAGCTCCTGTTACGTATCATGTTGGTGTAGCGCTTTAGTGTTAGCTCCTGTTACGTATCATGTTGGTGTAGCGCTTTAGCGTTAGCTCCTGTTACGTATCATGTTGGTGTAGCGCTTTAGCGTTAGCTCCTGTTACGTATCATGTTGGTGTAGCGCTTTAGCGTTAGCTCCTGTTACGTATCATGTTGGTGTAGCGCTTTAGCGTTAGCTCCTGTTACGTATCATGTTGGTGTAGCACTTTAGCGTTAGCTCCTGTTACGTATCATGTTGGTGTAGCACTTTAGTGTTAGCTCCTGTTACGTATCATGTTGGTGTAGCGCTTTAGCGTTACCTCCTGTTACGTATCATGTTGGTGTAGCGCTTTAGCGTTAGCTCCTGTTACGTATCATGTTGGTGTAGCACTTTAGTGTTAGCTCCTGTTACGTATCATGTTGGTGTAGCGCTTTAGCGTTAGCTCCTGTTACGTATCATGTTGGTGTAGCGCTTTAGCGTTAGCTCCTGTTACGTATCATGTTGGTGTAGCGCTTTAGCGTTAGCTCCTGTTCAGTTTTCTGCTTTAAAATGTGATGCTTTATGAATTTCCTTGTTTGATAAATGCTGCATTCTTATTGGTTGAGCATAATGACCTATAGATCAGCGTCGACAGAGTTTTCCTGTCAGTCCCGGTTCATTCGTTGGGCCACTACTCCTTGCACAGGAATGGCTCTCCGCTACATCCTGCAGACCAACTTCCAGCCGTCGGTGGGGATGCGTCCCGACGCCCGGAAGATCGGCGTTCTGATCACCGACGGGAAGTCGCAGGATGAGATTGTCGAGAACTCCCAGAGCTTGAGGGACAGCGGCATCGAGCTGTACGCCGTCGGTGAGCGCCGCCATCCCCTCTCCGGCCGCTTCCTGTGATCAGGCGGAGCGGATCTTTCATCGTGTTCTCTGCAGGCGTGAAGAACGCCGACGAGAACGAGCTGCGCTCCATCGCCTCCGACCCGGACGAGATCCACATGTACAACGTAGCCGACTTCCGCTTCCTGCTGGACATCGTGGACGACCTGTCTAACAACCTGTGCAACAGCGTCAAGGGCCCAGGTAGGACGAGCCGGGGAACTAATGTTCCCCCCTAACTGACGGCGTGCAGCTGACTCCGCCTCACTCTGCCTTCAGATTCTGGTCTCGAGCTGGGCCCGCCCACTGACCTGGTGACCTCTGAGGTCACGCACTACTCCTTCAGAGCCTCCTGGATGCCACCAGAGGTCCCCGTCGAGCAGTTCAGGGTCACTTACAGGATGGCCGCCGGAGGCCCCACCATGGAGGTGAGCTGCAGCCCGGCCCGGTTCTGGATCCGCTTCTGAACTGTGGAGCAAACCGGGTCTTAAAGCACAGGAACAGTCAATCTGCTGGCAGGCAGGCAGGCGGCGAAAACGTCTGACTGCGTGCGACTTAACGAGCGGCCTCAGAGCTCAGGGATAATTAAACCTCTTCACTTTTAGTGAAAATGTTTTCCAAGCTGTTCCTGGTTTTCCAGCAGGAATTCTGAGTAAATCTTGTCGTTAAATGACGTAACGGCTGTAAAAGCAGGATTCCTGACACATCACAGATGAGTAACAGCTGATTCTTTCCCTTTAGTCTCTAATCAGCTTCATTACAAACACATGGCTGTTTGTCAGCAGCAGGAGTGAAGTCACTTCCTCCACCAAGCTGGACGGATTCTCCCAGCGGCGAGTTTGAGTTACAGCAAAGTTGTTATGATGCCACAGAAAACTGTAATAATCCTGGACAAAGTTGCAATATCGGCAGAATTAACTCTTAACATGAAAATAGTCATGAATACATGAGAAGGTTTTTATCCTCAAAGCATCTGTGACGCCATGCTGGGGGTTGAAGTGACGCGTCGCTCCGTTCCAGGTTCTGGTGGACGGCGAAGTGACCACCACGGTTCTGGAGAACCTGACGCCACAGACCCAGTACGTGGTGAACGTGTTCGCCGTGCTAGAGGGCGTCAGCAGCGAGCCTCTGAAGGGAACTGAGACCACCTGTGAGTGTTCACCCCGTTTCCAGCTCTCCTCCAATCAGCAGCCGCTCACACAGGAAGTTAGCGTCATGGCTCATAGCTAGCCTCTTCCTGCTGCTCTTATGGGTCGGGTCGGTTCAGACGACCAGGTGAACCCTGACCCAGATGGACTCTGGTCAGTTATCACTGCTTCAGGTTATATAGACAGTGCTAATCACAAGAGCACTCCACACTTCTCAGATTTGTTCACTGGAGTTTGTTTGGACCAGAACAAACTTTAAAGGGTGTGAAAACTTAACTTTTCTAACTGGTTTTAACTGGTTCTAGCTGGTTCTAACTGGTTCTAACTGGTTCTAGCTGGTTCTAACTGGTTCTAACTGGTTCTAGCTGGTTCTAACTGGTTCTAGCTGGTTCTAACTGGTTATAGCTGGTTTTGATTGGTTCTAGCTGGTTCTAACTGGTTCTAGCTGGTTCTAACTGGTTCTAACTGGTTCTAGCTGGTTCTAACTGGTTTTGATTGGTTCTAACTGGTTCTAGCTGGTTCTAACTGGTTATAGCTGGTTCTGAATGGTTTTAACTGGTTCTATCTGGTTCTGACTGGTTCTAACTGGATCTAGCTGGTTCTAACTGGTTATAGCTGGTTTTGATTGGTTCTAGCTGGTTCTAACTGGTTCTAGCTGGTTCTAACTGGTTCTAGCTGGTTCTAACTGGTTCTAACTGGTTTTGATTGGTTCTAGCTGGTTCTAACTGGTTCTAACTGGTTATAGCTGGTTCTGAATGGTTTTAACTGGTTCTATCTGGTTCTAACTGGATCTAGCTGGTTCTAACTGGTTATAGCTGGTTTTGATTGGTTCTAGCTGGTTCTAACTGGTTCTAGCTGGTTCTAACTGGTTATAGCTGGTTCTGAATGGTTTTAACTGGTTCTATCTGGTTCTGACTGGTTCTAACTGGATCTAGCTGGTTCTAACTGGTTCTAGCTGGTTCTAACTGGTTCTGACTGGTTCTAACTGGATCTAGCTGGTTCTAACTGGTTCTAACTGGTTCTACCTGGTTCTATCTGGTTTTAACTGGTTCTAGCTGGTTCTAACTGGTTCTAGCTGGTTCTAACTGGTTCTAACTGGTTCTAACTGGTTCTAACTGCTAATAGCTGCTTCTAGCTGGTTCTAACTGGTTATAGCTGGTTCTGATTGGTTTTAACTGGTTCTATCTGGTTCTGACTGGTTTTAACTGGTTCTGTCTGGTTCTAACTGGTCCTAACTGGTCCTAGTTGGTTCTAGCTGGTTTTAACTGGTTATAGCTGGTTCTGATTGGTTTTAACTGGTTCTATCTGGTTCTGACTGGTTTTAACTGGTTCTATCTGGTTTTAACTGGTTCTAGCTGGTTCTATCTGGTTCTAACTGGTTCTACCTGGTTCTAGCTGATTCTAACTGGTTCTAGCTGGTTCTAACTGGTTATAGCTGGTTCTGATTGGTTTTAACTGGTTCTATCTGGTTCTGACTGGTTCTAACTGGTTCTAGCTGGTTCTAACTGGTTCTAACTGGTTCTAACTGGTTCTAACTGGTTCTAGCTGATTCTAACTGGTTCTAGCTGGTTCTAACTGGTTATAGCTGGTTCTGATTGGTTTTAACTGGTTCTATCTGGTTCTGACTGGTTCTAACTGGTTCTAGCTGGTTCTAACTGGTTCTAACTGGTTCTACCTGGTTCTAGCTGGTTCTAACTGGTTATAGCTTGTTTTGATTGGTTTTAACTGGTTCTGTCTGGTTCTGACTGGTTCTAACTGGTTCTAGCTGGTTCTAACTGGTTCTAACTGGTTCTAGCTGGTTCTAACTGGTTCTAGCTGGTTCTGACTAGTTTTAACTGGTTCTGTCTGGTTGTTTCCCCCAGTGCCTCTGTCTCCTGCGAGCAACCTGAAGGTTTACGATGAGACGTCCAGCAGCATGAGGGTGAGCTGGGAGGCGGCGGCCGGAGCGAGCGGCTACCTGCTGCTGTATCGCTCCATCAACGCCTCGGAGCCTCAGCAGGAGCGGGAGGTGAGACGCTTCAATCCCATTGAATCCGCTTTCACCCAACTCCCGTCCGGTTGGTGAGGTGTGAATGCTAACTGACCTCTGACCTCTGGTCCTCCAAACCTCAGTCTGGGTTTGGTTTGAATGTGAACACCAAGCGGACCAGAAACCACTACAAACGCTAGACGTGGACTACAGCGCAGGGCATTCTGGGTAAATACAGTTGCGCTCAGTGTCTTCAGGTGTTGGTGCAGCGCCCCCACTGGCAGCACGTTGCTAATGTTGACCCAGTTGAACCGACTCTACAGGAAATATCACATAAACTCAGTTGGGCACATGTGAAACTCTCCAGCTGTTACTTGTTTGTGCTATAAAATGGAAATATATGATACCGGCCCTTTAAGAGGAATCATCGCTCAGAAATCTCTGAATTGGATTCAAGTCTTTTCCAGGTTTGGATCCTGATGGAAACAGAGACAAGAGAACAGAAAAAAACATTTACATTGTTCTGCTTCCAGAGTGGAGAGTGTGTGTGTGTGTGTGTGTGTGTGTGTGTGTGTTTGTGTGTGTGTGTGTGATCTGGCTGATGTCTCTTATGAGCTGCAGAAGTGTAGAACCTGGTTCTGTAGTTTTCTTCTTGGGTCCGTTAGGGACACGAGGCGGTTCTGGCGCCGAACTACGCACGTGTCCCGGTTCACATCTGGACTGGGTCGGCCCATCACCGCTGGGTGGGTCGGGTTACAGCTTCCAAGTGGAAGTGCAGCTGCAGAACCAGAACCGGCCGCTTAAAGAGACGGAGGGATGAGCTCATGTTCTGACGGGCCGGGTCAGAACCTCTGAGCGCTACCATGCAGCCATTTCCTGATTCTTCCCGTCGCTCCTTTGCTGCTGCCGTCCCTGAGCAGCTCAAGCTGACCTTGACCTTCTGGATGACCTTGATAAGTAAAGCCAGCTGAGGTTTCTCATTTGGTTTCAACCACAAAACAACATAGAGGCAGTGAATCTCTTGAGCATTGGTTGCTTGGCTAAAAACCTGAGATGTGGGAACCTGAGACGTGGGAACCTGCCTGAACTTCCTGAGGATTTGCAGGTCTGATCTTCTGTATTGTGTCCGAGTTCTTCCTTCATCGTTCTGTTGCATTCGCCCTGATTCTTTCTGGATCTGGACAATGTTTCCGTTGATTTCACAGTTTGTTTAATTGAGGCAGATCTTCTGTGTGGCTGCAGCACTGATTACAGACATAGTAACACAAATGAAAGAATGTGTGTAGAAACAATTAAAATATTGAACAATGAATCCAGTTCTGCTTCATTTCATCCCGTGCTGAAGCCGCATTAAACTGAGAATGAAAAGGTGAGTCCTGGCTCTGCGTCAGACGCTCTGAGCCTCTGGGTTTCACTTCGGTCCGTTTGTCTCTGCAGGTTCGCGTTGCCGGAGGCGTGACGAACACCCAGCTGCTGGAGCTCATCCCCAACACGCAGTACGCCATCACACTCATGGCTCTGCACGGCGAGGCCACCAGCGAGGCCCTGGAGGGCCGCGGGGTCACCTGTACGTAACCCGGTTCCGGTATCATCGGGTCGCTAGCAACATGGCCGCCTCTGGGGGGAAATGGGTTCGGACCCAAAACCTCCAGCAGCTCCACGCAGATCAGCCGCTTAACTAACAGCAACAGCCTGGATCTGGCAGACAGAACTGAACATTTAACCAGATCGGCCCATTATGATTGGTGGCCGATCATAATGGGCCGATCTGGTGAAAAAGTGTCTGATCGGTGATCGATAGCGCCTCTTGTTGCCGATCACCTGTATCTCAGCTGGTTTCCTCCTTCCTGCTCGCTGCGCAGCATCAAGTCTTGTAGGGAGGAACTTAAGGTTCTGAGTGATCGGGGACGGCTGCGTGTTGCGGTGGGAAATGACGTCACAACGCATCAACACGACGAATCTAATACCACATTTAAAAAACAAACACTTGGTTGATTTGGCTCCATCGCGACTCAACGCAGGAACTAAAGACATCCGGATCCAGACAGCAGGTAGAGCAGCGCAGCTACCAAAGCTCAGCGATTAGCATCCCGGTCAGAAAGCTAAACCAAAAACCCCAACAATAATTGAGGGAGTGAGACGCTGGTTCTGTTGGACACAGACAGAGTCGCTGAACCTCCAGAGGGTGAACTGTCACAGGGAGCGGCTGCTGAGAGCTGCAGCAGGAACTGAGACACAAACAAACACCCAATCAGAGCCAATGTTAACCAGCTAGCCAATCAGAGCCCAGCTAGCCAATCAGAGCTAACGTTAACCAGCTAGCCAATCAGAGCCAATGTTAACCAGCTAGCCAATCAGAGCCCAGCTAGCCAATCAGAGCTAACGTTAACCAGCTAGCCAATCAGAGCCAATGTTAACCAGCTAGCCAATCAGAGCCAACATTAACCAGCTAGCCAATCAGAGCCAATGTTAACCAGCTAGCCAATCAGAGCCAACGTTGACCAGCTAGCCAATCAGAGCCAACATTAACCAGCTAGCCAATCAGAGCCAACGTTGACCAGCTAGCCAATCAGAGCCAATGTTAACCAGCTAGCCAATCAGAGCCAACGTTGACCAGCTAGCCAATCAGAGCCAACGTTAACCAGCTAGCCAATCAGAGCCAATGTTAACCAGCTAGCCAATCAGAGCCAACGTTGACCAGCTAGCCAATCAGAGCCAACGTTGACCAGCTAGCCAATCAGAGCCAACGTTGACCAGCTAGCCAATCAGAGCCAACGTTGACCATCTAGCCAATCAGAGCCAACGTTGACCAGCTAGCCAATCAGAGCCAACGTTGACCAGCTAGCCAATCAGAGCCAACGTTGACCAGCTAGCCAATCAGAGCCAACGTTGACCAGCTAGCCAATCAGAGCCAAACGTTGACCAGCTAGCCAATCAGAGCCAACATTAACCAGCTAGCCAATCAGAGCCAACGTTGACCAGCTAGCCAATCAGAGCCAACGTTAACCAGCTAGCCAATCAGAGCCAACGTTGACCAGCTAGCCAATCAGAGCCAACGTTGACCAGCTAGCCAATCAGAGCCAACGTTGACCAGCTAGCCAATCAGAGCCAACGTTGACCAGCTGCTGAGAGCTGCAGCAGGAACTGAGACACATTTCTGATATGTATTTAAATATGTCTGTTATGGCTAAATTAGGTGAATTTATTACAGATCATTTTTTCCATTTTGCCAGATAACAGAATAATTTATGCTTAAAGTGAAAAATTAAGAGCCAATCCAGGAGATCAGCAGAGATCGGTGATCGGCCTCATAGATGTTTGTATTGGAACCGGAGCAACGAATCTGATGGGAGCATCTAGTTTGAACTAAATATTTACATAAGTTATATATTTATCTCAAAATAAAATATTTAGCTGGTTAGCTTGAAAACAATTTTTTTTTGCTTCAAACTAAATATTTAGACCTTAGATACTTAGTTTGATTAAATATCTAGTTTGAAGCTGCAACATTTTAAATGAGTGAATCCCAAGGTGAAAACATAAACTTGAATAATAAACTTCACTCTTTTTTGTCATCAGTGTCTAAATTACCCAAAAAATGGAGTTTGACCTTTAACCGTTGCTGCATCAGAGGAAGCTCCCAGTTTTCTGGATTTTCTGCCTGAGCAGCTCGGCTGTCTGACTGGATCCAGTGAGCCGGACTGACCTGGTGGTCGGTTCCGGTTCTGGTTCCGGTTCTAACAGGTCTCTGTTCTCCCTCAGTACCCCTGTCCCCTGCTGGAGAGCTGAGGATCAGCGGCGTCACCCACAGCAGCATGATGCTGAACTGGGATGCAGCTCCTGGAGCCGTCCGCAGATACATGATCGCCTACAAACCTGAGGAGGGAGAGCTGAAAGAGGTGAACAAGAAGTTCCAGGAAGTACTTCCTGTTAGTTCGAGGCTAACAGAAAGTACCCTCTAGCAAACAGGAAGTACCCTCTAGCTCTAGCTAACAGAAAGTACCCTCTAGCAAACAGGAAGTAACCTCTAGCTAACAGGAAGTACCCTCTAGCAAACAGGAAGTAACCTCTAGCTAACAGGAAGTACCCTCTAGCAAACAGGAAGTAACCTCTAGCTAACAGGAAGTACCCTCTAGCAAACAGGAAGTACCCTCTAGATAACAGGAAGTACCCCCTAGCTAACAGAAAGTACCCTCTAGCTAACAGGATGTACCCTCTAGCTAACAGAAAGTACCCTCTAGCTAACAGAAAATACTCTCTAGCTAACAGAAAGTACTCTCTAGCTAACAGAAAGTACTCTCTAGCTAACAGGAAGTACCCTCTAGCTAACAGAAAGTACCCTCTAGCTAACAGAAAATACTCTCTAGCTAACAGAAAGTACCCTCTAGCTAACAGGAAGTACCCTCTAGCTAACAGAAAGTACCCTCTAGCTAACAGAAAATACTCTCTAGCTAACAGAAAGTACCCTCTAGCTAACAGGAAGTACCCTTTAGCTAACAGAAAGTACTCTCTAGCTAACAGAAAATACTCTCTAGCTAACAGAAAGTACCCTCTAGCTAACAGAAAGTACCCTCTAGCTAACAGAAAATACTCTCTAGCTAACAGAAATACTCTCTAGCTAACAGAAAGTACCCTCTAGCTAACAGGAAGTACCCTTTAGCTAACAGGAAGTTGTTATAGGTTGTAGGAGGAAAACATTACATTTCAGGAAGTAGCCTGTCAGAGTCAGAGCTCTTCAAGTCGCTCTGACTCGTATACCAGGCCCGGTTCCAGGAGGTTCTGCTCTCGCTGTTGGCCACAGTCATGGCTGAAGCGGTCCAGGTTCTGGTTCTGACTGGATTTTCCCTGTCCTCCTCACTTTCCTCCTGCACCAGAAGGTTCTGATGGATGACCCGAATCGGCCCAGATCAGTCTGGCGTTCCTTCTCGCTTCCTGCTGCTCTGGAACATTTTCCCTCAAATAAACATGGTTTCACCTCTAGACTCTCCTGGGTCTGATTAAAGCTCATCAGATCTAGAAATAGCGCCGCAGCTTTCTGGAACCGGTTCTGACCGGTAACTGTCGCCCGCAGGTGGAGGTGAACGGTGACATCGTCACGCTGCAGCTGACCAGCCTGATCTCCCAGACGGAGTACGACGTCGCTGTCACCCCCATGTACGACGAGGGACCCGCCGCCCCCATGCTCGGAACCGCCATCACAGGTCCGGACCCGGCTTATTCAGGCTCAGATCACTTCCAGGTGCAGTTAGTAACTCAGTTTGTCAGTTTTATGGTTCTGGTTCTGAGGTGGCCCGACCTTTTCTGGCTCGGTTCTACATTTCATCGGTAAGCTGCAGGTTTTTAGGGTGAATATCAGCTCAGACTCATGGTGTAATCATGGTTCTATTGGGCCACAGGACTGGACCTGGTACTGTTGGATCACCAGGACAAACCTCAGAATTAAAGTGTTGACAGTTTTATTACCTCTACTGGTTCTGGTCCAGTTTGCAGATAGGAAGTTCTGAGCAGCTGGTGTCATTTCTGGATGCTTTCCGGATTTTTTAGCACAACTTTGGTCTTGAGAGGTTTAATTTTCTGAACCAGAACCGCTAAGGTTCTGGTCGAGTCCCAGCAGCCTCATCCGTCTTTCTGCACAACCAGACACTTGTAGATTGGTGGCTTAAAGGCTGCCCTGGTTCTTTCCTCTGGAATCTGCAGGAATGTTGGAGTAAAATCTGATTCCTGCTCCAGTTTTCAGACTTTTTCCCGACCCAAACCAGACTCCAGGTTCTGCTGGGACCAGCTGGGATTTGTGCTGCCTCCAGCCTGTGAACCTCAGGCTGTTTCACTCCAACCTGTGGTCAGATCTGCTTCCTGTCTCCTTACACAGATGTTGTCCCGGCTCCCAAGAACCTGCGGTTCTCTGAGGTGACCCAGAACTCCTTCAGAGCCACCTGGGAACATGGCGCTCCAGATGTGGCGCTCTACCGGATCGCATGGGCCAGGAAGGGCGAAAACGACTTCAAGAACGTAAGCTGTCATCCAAAGTACTGAAATATATCTGCTCAGTGTTTTATCCCTGGGAAACTATCTACTTAGACTCTTCAGGGTCTCTACTTAGATAATGTTGCATGGTGGTGGCAGCATTATGCTGTGTGGCTGTTTCACTGGGAAGTAATGACCTCACACCAGCAGGTTAGAAGGTTGAAATCTGGACCCGGTGCAGTGGTTGGCATCACCAACCATAAAGAAGCATGACTTCTGCGAATGCTAAAGCGCTACACCAAAATGGTATTTAGCAGAAGCTAGTGCTAGGTCGCGCTGCCGATGTAGTATTTAACAGAGCACAATGAATGTTAGCTGCTAAATCAACAAAATAATTTAGCACTTCAGAATTTTTCTGAAAAAATGAATGTAGGGGAAGCTAAGTGCACTGCACAGTTTCAGAGTTAGCAGAGATGCAAAGTTTTGGAATGTTTCTTGGTTTCAACAGGAAATCCTGAACAAGGATGAGAACTCGTACGTTCTGGAGAACCTGGATCCGGACACAGAGTACACGGTCACCATCACGGCCATCTATCCCGACGAGTCGGAGAGCGAGGACCTGATCGGAACCGAGCGGACCTGTAAGTGATCCCGCCCCCATCTCGGCTGAACCTTCTGCTCTGAGTTGACCTGGAATAACGTGCTTCTTCTTGGCGTCTCTTTCTAGTGCTGAAGGCTGCAGATGGTAGGTCACTGAGAGGTCATGACCTTCTCAGAGTTTGTTCACACTTTGAGGTGACAGGTGTCAGCGTTCGTGTCTCAGCATGTTTGTGTTTCAGAGCTTCGCTGTGCGTTCACACCACCAGCAGCATCTCCTTTAGCTATGGGTTAGCTTAGCTGCCCTTCAGGGTTAGCTTAGCTGCCCTTCAGGGTTAGCTTAGCTGGCCTTCAGGGTTAGCTTAGCTGGCCTTCAGGGTTAGCTTAGGCCTTCAGGGTTAGCTTAGCTGGCCTTCAGGGTTAGCTTAGGTGGCCTTCAGGGTTAGCTTAGCTGGCCTTCAGGGTTAGCTTAGCTGGCCTTCAGGGTTAGCTTAGCTGGCCTTCAGGGTTAGCTTAGGTGGCCTTCAGGGTTAGCTTTGCTGCAGTAAAGAAGGTGTAAAGCAGCCTCTGGCTGTGGTGTGAACGCAGAGTCATGATCATCATCATCAGCTGTGTGTCTCCATAATCTCACCATCATGTGGATCCATGTTGTCGCATGTTGTTCAGCCATCCTGCTGCTGCTACAGGCTTAACCTGATCCTGGATTTTCATCTCTATGATGCACTATTAGGGTCAAAGTTCATAATGTAACGTACCCAGCGGTGGATAGTATAGATGCTATATTCATCCCAAAGCTAGCTGATGACCTAATCAACGATAAACTGCTACTGCTAACTGAACATCTGATGCTGGCCAATCGGAAGGAGACAACTCACTAGCAGTAGCCTCGGATGGTCTTCTTCCTTTACTGTCCATTTGCAAAGCAGTCTAAAAATTGTCTATGATAGCTTAGCGTTATCATTAGTAAGCCTATTGTTATCCTGGATAGGTTAGCATTATTGTTGCGTAGCCTAATAGCATTATAGTTCGTTAGCCTAGAGTTAGACTTTGATAGGTTAGCCTTAGCCTTCGTTAGCCTACCGTTAGCCCTGGTTAGCCTAGCATTAAACTCTGATCGATTAGCATTACCCTTGGATTGCCCTGGTTAGCTGAGTGTTAGACATTGATAGGTTAGCGTTAGCTTAGGCTGCTCTAGGCTAATGTGGAGCTGTGCTCTGGTCCTCAGTCTTCATGGTGCTGCTTGTGAAGCTGGGTCAGATAATTGGTTCTGCACCAACCAGAACCGTTGGGTTTGGGTTGAACAGTCGGGGTTCTGAAGGCCGGTTCCGCTCCAGCTTCACTCATCATCATCATCATCCTGCTGCTCCCATCCTAATCCTGACCTTTGCAGCTCCATGACCTGCTGCAGAGGAACCATCATCATCATCATTATCATCACCTTCATCAACCCCCCCCTCACTGCGTCCTCTCTCTGCCTCCAGTGCGACCCGAGCCGCCGCGGAACCTGAGGGTGTTCAACGCCACCGTCTCCTCGCTGACCGTGAAGTGGGACGCCGCTCCTGGTCCCGTCAAGAACTACAAGGTCACATATCTGCCGGTGGCTGGCGGCGAGCCTCAGACGGTAAGACCCGGCCCGGATCCTGGAGGGGGATTCATCATGATGATCAGAGAGCAAAGGGATAATGCTTCAAAAAGTTTGATAATAACACAATAAAGTCATGACTTTACAATTATGTGAGAACGTTCAATGAACTGAACTTATTTAATGATTTCCAATCAGTTTTGACCAATCAAAGTGTTTTCTCTCAAACGCAAGAGAGAAATGTCATAATGCAAAAATATACAGACCGGATCCTCCTCTGTCTGCGGACTGCAGAAAGGAGCTGGAGTTTTGAGTTTCTGAGATGTTGTGACTTCAGGCAGCAGGTTGGGGCGGCGGACAGATGGACCTCAGAACCAGGAAAGGCCTGGATTTGCTTCAGGCTTCACAGATCCAACAAACAGTCAGCTGGGACATTAGAAACCATAATCTGAGATTATAGAGCCGTGTGTAATCTGCCGTTGTGTTTCCTGTGAGCAGCTGCAGGTCGGCGGGAAGAAGACCAACATCATCCTGCAGCAGCTGCAGCCTGACACGCCGTACTCTGTTACCGTGGCAGCCGTCTACCCATCAGGCGCCAGCAGGGACATCAGCGGAGAGGGGAAAACCAGTAAGTGTCCGCAGCCACTGGGAGCCACTGGGAGCCACTGGGATGAAGTGTTAGTCCAGTAAATCAGAGAAAGCTGACAGAGTGGAGCTGTTTTCCGCTGCAGAGCCCCTTGGCGGTGTGAGGAACCTGCAGGTGCTCAACCCCACCATGACGACGCTGAACGTGCGCTGGGAGCCGGCGGAGGGCCGGGTCAACGAGTACAAAGTGATTTACGCTCCGGCAGCCGGAGGAGCGGAGAGCATGGTAGGACTGGTAGGAACCCGCTTCCCTCAGCGCTTAACTGTGTAACTGGCCTAGTTAAAGTTCTGCTGCTGGGTCAGGCTGAGCCGAGCTCTTATTCTGGTCTGGAAACCTTGCAGGGTTTCGGTCTTCAATGTGCTGAAAGAAGCTGTGGGGTGAAGCGGGAAAATGCTGAGTCAGCGGTTGCTATGGAAACGCCCTAGTTTCCTGTGGAGGAGGTGTTAGCTATCAGCGCTAATATGCTAAAAGCAGAGCTAACTTTTTATTTACCGATAGCCGCCACGGCTAAATGAGAATTTTTATTTTAATTTATTAGGGACACATTAATGAACAATCAATACTTCTGTCCAGACTGTAAATGAGCCAGATTACAGCATAGCTGCTCATTTCCATCTGTAATCCCAAGACAGGAAGAGCCAAGCAACAAAAAGATATTATAAACACACAATCAAGAAATCACATGAACAAAAAACACAGAAAAAGTGAGTTAAAATACAACATGTCTTTGAAGTTATAACAGAGGTGTTCCTTAAAACAGTCTGATCCACGCCGGCTCACGGTTCCAGCAGCGACTCCCTCTGACCGATTTCCTGTAACGGATCTCCAGCTCTCCTCCTGGTGCCGAGACCAGCTCTGACCCAGAGCAGCAGTGTTCAGAACGTGAAATAGCAGATTATATTCTGAGAAAGCTGCAGGTCACGCCGGTCTGATGCTGTGTCTCCGAGCAGCTGATTAGTGTGGCTTGTTGCTGCAAACAGGAAACGGTGTCGGCGGGAACCACGGCCACCATCCTGCGCGGCCTGCAGCCCGACACGCTGTACTCCGTCACGCTGGTTCCGGTTTACGCTCAGGGAGACGGAAAGAGGATGTCTGAAAACGGGAAAACCAGTAAGTCCCAAACTCGGCATGACTCGGAGAAAAACTCTGTCGGCTGAGCGGCGGTCTGTCTGCTTCAGGAGCGTTAGGCGGCGTGAAGAACCTGATGGTGAGCGACCCCACCATGACCTCCCTGAACGTCCGCTGGGACCCCGCCGACGGCGCCGTGCGCCTCTACAAGGTTTTCTATGTTCCCACCGCCGGCGGCCGAGAGGAAATGGTGAGAACTGCCAAGCAGAGCGCCGACTGACCGGCGGCGTTCTGACCGGGCGCCGACTGACCGGCGGCGTTCTGACCGGCGGCGTTCTGACCGGGCGCCGCTCTGACCGGGCGCCGCTCTGACCGGGTGGCGTTCTGACCGGGCACCGCTCTGACCGGGCGCCGCTCTGACCGGGCGCCGCTCTGACCGGTGGCGTTCTGACCGGGCGCCACTCTGACCGGGTCCGTCTGTTACAGGAACAGGTTCCAACTGGAACCACGGCCATCGTCCTGAGGAACCTGCAGCCCGACACGCAGTACACCGTGTCCGTGGTGCCGGTGTACCCGGCGCGCGAAGGCCGGCGCCAGTCTGAGGACGGGAAGACGTGTACGCTGCCGCAGAACGTTTGGGCTCGCCTTTCCTTACACTCGACCTCTGACCCGACATGTCGGCGTGTTTCTGCCCACAGTGCCTCTGAGCGGCGTCAGCGGCATGAGGGTCAGCAATCCCACCATCACCACGCTCACCGTCAACTGGGACGCCGCCGACGGCAACGTCCAGGGCTACAAGGTCATCTACGTCCCGGCGAACGGCGGCCTGGAAATCGTGGTGAGGTCATCAAACTACCGACCCGAAAACTACTGAGAACTACCAGATCAAACCGGGAAAAATCCAGCGAGGACAGAAACATTAAAACAGCAGAAATACTTCAGAGCAAAATGATACTCCTAACCGTTCATCTTTACAAACTGTTGCTATCCGAGTCCTGCCTCCATCACTGGACACAGAAACGGCTAAACGATCTGCAGCTCATCCTATCTCTGCAGCGTCAAGCTTTGGGAGGTCAAAGGCCATTTCCTGATGCCTCTCTGAAGATTGTATGATTAACAGTTGTTCTTTGTCTCGTTGAGTTCAGAAACTTCCATACAAAATATTCATTTCATTCAGAGTTTTATTTTTCTGACAGCTCAGGATTCTGGCTTAACATTAAATTAAAACTCAACGTTTCCCAGAAAATTTTAAAAGTAATTTAATAAATAAATAGCAGAGCAGAAGTTCTCAGTAACTGCTCACAGCTCTGAAAGGATTACATTTTCCTTCCACTCAACTTTTCTTCAACATGCTTGGATACAGGCAGCTGGAACTTGAGAGCTTCTTTTGATTAGTGAAATGTTTACTTTAGGTCACATTTCTGCCTGAGGAATCGTCTCTCAGTGTGTTTCAGCCGATGGCTTTGCTCCCATCGCAGTAACTTGGGGAGTTTCTGGGGATGAAAAATAATCCTGCTGATCGTTTTTCAGCCTGACATGTTGAGCCTCCTGCGGCAGGGCGGCTAGCGGCAGTCGGGGTTTCGTACCGTCGTCTCCGGAGAGCCGATCAAAGCCTCGGTAGGGATTTATGGCGCGCTGCCTCTGACGGGATAATCCCTGCACTCCAGCGTCAGACAGCAGCGCCGGCTGCTGCCAGGAAACTACGACCTCGGCTGGTCCGGACGGATTCTTCAGTTTGTGGATTTACTGTTTTTAAATCCCGACAGAGAAACGTCTGACTCCTCAGACGCTGCAGAGATCCAAATCCTTCTGTCATTTCAATACATTCAAGCCAAACGTCTCCGTCAGCTTCCCCTGCAGGACAAGCTGCTGGTTCTACAGAACTCTGACTTTTCTGGCCTCACTTCCTGTACTGACCTCACTTCCTGTGTCTCCGGCAGGAACAAGTGTCTGAGAGCACCACCTCCACCGTCCTGCAGAGGCTGCTACCCGACACCAGCTACACTGTCACCGTGGTGCCGGTTTACGCCGAGGGAGACGGGCCCAGCCTGACCGACAGCGGCAAGACCAGTGAGTACCGACCGGCCCGGAGGGGGCGGAGCCTGCAGCCTCCCAGCCTGCAGCCCCCTTGATTTCCATTTTTTAAGCTACAGGCCCCCGCCTGTAGCCTGGGGGCGGAGCCCGTAGCCTGGGGGCTGAGTCTGTAGCCTTGGGGCGGAGTCTGTAGCCTGTGGGTGGGGTCTGTAGCCTGGGGGCGGAGTCTGTAGCCTTGGGCGGAGTCTGTAGCCTGGGGGTGGGGTCTGTAGCCTGGGGGCGGAGTCTGTAGCCTTGGGGCGGAGTCTGTAGCCTGGAGCCGGAGCCTGTAGCCTTGGCAGGCCATGTTCTGGAATGAGATTGGTCGGTTGGCTCCAACAGCCCAATGAGTCAATAAATTAGTTGGAAGTTAGCGCGTAAAAAACAGATTTAAACGAACATTAAAAGGCCGGTAGCATCTAAAATCAATTCTTTTGACTTCTATTATGTTTTTGCAGTGTTGCTCTGATTCTTTCATGTTTGAGAAATCCTTTAAGCTCCATGGTAACTGTTCAGGTGTTAAAACATCTGGGTGGACCTAGCCCCGCCTTCCAGGCTGAGCTCCTCCCCCTTTCAGCTCCTTCAGACTAGCCAACAGCAATTAGCAAACAGCTGCTGAGCTCATTGCAGGAGCTGCTGCTCAGAGCAACACTGGTGAAAACGTTAAAGTGTTAATAGAGGAGTTATGTTGGGATGACTTCCTGGAATACAAGCTTCAGGAAGAGCAGAAGCTTCTTAAAGAGACACAGACCCAATTTCAAGGCGTTAAATTTGGACTTAAGATAGTTTCTGCGTTTGTTGTATAAAATGTCTGTTTGTGCCTGGAAAACATGTAACACTGGCCCTTTAAATGAAGTTGCTTATGGAGAGTGAAGAGTCCCAAATTATAATAAATACATAACTTAGGAAATATCATTAATTCACTAAAACTGGAGATAAATGCAAAAATAATTGATTGAATATAGCTTCACCTTTATAATTGTTACATATGGATAAATTTCCTACCTGTGATGGAGCCGTTAACAGACGGTGGGCCAACCGTCAGTGGGCGGGGTCAGAGGAAACCCTGACGTCTGATTGGCTGCTTCAACAGCAATACGACTCCTTCCTGTTTGCTTCACTCTGTTGTCACAATAGCTGCTATAATAAATTACATATAAATATATATTTCCAGTTTTTAAAATGAAATTAATACATTTAAGTGAAGAATACAATTAATTCTATGTCATAAATTATTTCTATATTTATTTCCATTTTTTAATCTAGTGTGTCATACTGAGCTGTTCTCATGCTGTTAAAGCAGAAACCTGACATGAACACAAATACTGAAGCTAAAGGCCCGGCTCTAATCCGGAGGATTTGAAGTGTGATGTTTGTGGCTGTGCGCTCAGGGCCGCTGGGATCCGTCAGGAACCTGCAGGTGACCGACCCCACCACCAGCACCCTGAACGTCCGCTGGGAGCCGCCCGAGGGAAACGTCCGAACGTACAAGGTCCTCTATGCCGCCCAGCCAGGAGGAGAACAGGAAGTGGTGAGATCCGCTCCGAAGACGACGCGTTGGACAAAATAACTGTTTTTAAGATTCAAATGAGAATATAGTGGCTTTCCTTTTCCTCTGCTGCTCAGTTTTAACCTGAAGTCAGTTTCCAAACCTCAGCAGTTTGATTGTTGAGGTTTTCCTTCTTCCTGAATGAATGTCTGAAGTCCTGAACAGCTTCTGGAGGAATTTAGTTTCCAACATTCAGTTCCACCATCAGCCTCTAACCTGCATGAAGATTCCCCTTTGTTTGGGATCCCTGACACAAATTCCTTCACATTTCTAAAGTTAAGACTCAAAATCACATTTCCACTCAAATTTTGGACAAGTTGAAAATATAAATACAACATTTCAGTCTGAATTTCCTGCAGAGATTTCTGTCAATGGTTTGAAATGCACAGAGAGGAGGAGAGGATACGGGAAGCTGATCTTTCCAGATTCATATTTTCCATATTTATCCTGGAGAAAGCTGAGATTCCAAACAGAGGTTCATCCAGTGGATCTAGCAGAGTCGGGCCTCAGTGACCCTCTTCCTGTCAAACAGGACCAGGTCCCTGGAACCGTGTCCAGCATTGTCCTGAAGCAGCTGCAGCCGGACACGGAGTACTCGGTCACCGTCGTCCCCGTCTACCCGGAGATGGAGGGGGAGTCCATGTCTGAGACGGGGAAGACAAGTGAGACGCTTTCCTCTCCAGATGAGAGAGTTTTACAGAAACTGGTTTTACAGTGAAACCCAAATGAGAGCTGATAAAAACTCACGTTTTCCTCCAGATCCGCTGGGCGGAGTGAAGAACCTGAAGGTGGTGGATCCCTCCATCAGCACGCTGACCGTCCGCTGGGACCCGGCCGTGGGAAACGTCCGAACGTACAAGGTCTTCTATGCCGCCCAGCCAGGAGGAGAACAGGAAGTGGTGAGAGCCGTTTCCTCTTCCAGCTGACCTGAGGAGAAGCAAACATTCATCCTCAGGTCCAGCAGAAACTGATCAGCTCTTATCGATCGATGTCCAACAGGAGGAGGTTTTCTGGTGGCACCACCACCACAGTCCTGAGGAACCTGGAGGCCAACACGCTCTACAGCGTGGCCGTGGTTCCTGTCTACCCCGACGTGGAGGGGATCCGGCAGGAGGACCAGGGCAGGACGAGTAGGTCCACCAGAAAACGCTTGTGTCTGACCGATCTGCAGACCGGTCCAAACGGGTCCGACCCGATTACAGCCGTTTCTCTGGGTGGCGAACCAGCCAGGAGAGATCGCAGCCCGAAGGGGTCAGGGTTTGTTGTAAGGTCAGAGTTCGTTTTAAGCTGTCCAGGAAATGCTGCAGGAGCTTCACGTCCTTAAGTATGCTTTAAAGTACGATCCTTAGTTTACTCTGCCAGTACTTGTATACTTCTGCTCCATATTTTAATTTATCAAAGCATACGTTTATGAATTACTAAAACTGAAATGTACTGCGTTTTTACTATTTTAATAGTTTAGTTGTACTATACATATACTTAGCGTATTATCCGTAACATACTACATACATACAGAAATATTTTGACCCTTTTCACGTGACGTTAACATCTACATACTTTATAAGTAAGCGTGATCAGAAAGATATCAAATATGGCATGATGGAAAGGTACGCGTCTAGCCATTGGTAGCCATGGACACAACAAATTAGCTGGACTCGAACAAGGAGAAACGACTCCTGACCCCATTAAGTGATGCAGTATTCCTCTGTTTAGCTAGTTAGCTATCTAGTTCAGTTCTATAGATAAACTAGCTAAAGGCCTGTTTCTGGATCAGCAGTTCCTCTCGTAGGTTTCGGACGTTGCCGTGTTGCTAGTTGCTGTCCGTTGACCCAAATGTCTGTTTTCAGTTGCTGCTGCAGAAACGACCATCTGAACCGTTTGAAAGGTTAAAATATGCAGCAGTTCTTCAGATGGAAACTCCTTAAACCAGCACGCTTACAACAGGGATGGGATGATCCTTTAGGATGTTCCCAGGAATCCAGACACATTTATCCCTGAGAGCTCAGGCCGGTTGGCAGACCTGGAGTCACTTCAGGTGTTTGGATGTGCTTTACTGTGAGACCTGAGGACAGGAGCTGAAGCAGCGTGTTTAGGAGCAGGATAAAGCCCTTTGCAGTTGGTGACGGGGCAACCGCGGCCCGTCCGCCGCGGCCCGTCCGCCGCGGCCCGTCCGCCGCGGCCCGTCCGCCGCGGCCCGTCCGCCGCGGCCCGTCCGCCGCGGCCCGTCCGCCGCGGCCCGTCCGCCGCGGCCCGTCCGCCGCGGCCCGTCCGCCGCGGCCCGTCCGCCGCGGCCGTCCGCCGCGGCCCGTCCGCCGCGGCCCGTCCGCCGCGGCCCGTCCGCCGCGGCCCGTCCGCCGCGGCCCGTCCGCGCGGCCCGTCCGCCGCGGCCCGTCCGCCGCGGCCCGTCCGCCGCGGCCCGTCCGCCGCGGCCCGTCCGCCGCGGCCCGTCCGCCGAGGCCCGTCCGCCGCGGCCCGTCCGCCGAGGCCCGTCCGCCGCGGCCCACAGGGTAAATCACACACCGTGTCGCTCCTTTCAGAGCCGCTGGGCGGAGTGAGGAACCTGCAGGTGACCGACCCGACCACCAGCTCCCTGAGGGTCCGCTGGGAGCCGGCCGAGGGCGACGTCCGTCAGTACCGGGTCCTGTACGCGGTGGCGGCCGGTGGCGCCGAGAGCGCGGTGGGTGGGAGTGTAACTCTGGTTCCACCTGGACCGGTTCTGAGTGAGGAACGGTCGGGAGCGAGGCGCTCATGCTGTGTTTGTGCTGCAGACGCAGGTTTCCGGGCTCACCAGCAGCACGGTTCTGACGGAGCTCAGCCCGGACACCGAGTACCAAGTGACCGTCATCCCCATCTACGAGGACGTGGAGGGAAAGCGCATTTCTGAGAATGGGAAAACCAGTGAGTTCCTCCCAAACCGGACTGGGCTGGGCCGTGGTTCTGCAGACCACCAGGGGTTCTGATCGATCTCTGTGGTCTGTTCGCAGAGGTTCTGGGTGGGGTGAAGAACCTGCAAGTCACCGACCCGACCACCAGCTCCCTGAAGGTCCGCTGGGAGGCGGCCGAGGGCAACGTCCGCCAGTACCGCATCTTTTATGTGCCAGCAGCCGGCGGCGCCGAGGACATGGTGGGGGGCCGGGCCGGACTGGTTCTGGATTAAACTCAATATTTCTCTGGATTCTGAGGAAATCTTTCGATCTTTAAAGGGCCGGTATCGTGTAAAACTAACGTGTTTCATCTTTTTCAAGTGTTTTCCCAGGAGAACTTAGCTCCTTCAGACTAGCCAGGAGCAATTAGCAAACATGTGGTGAGCTCATTACAGGAACTGCTGTTCAGAGCAGTACTGGTAAAAACGTTAAGGGATTAATACAGGAGCCATGACTTTCTGGAGGAGGAGCTTCTTAAAGAGACAGACACACAATTTCAAGGTGTTAAATAGTATCGTCAAGACATGAAAATACCAAACATCAAAATATCTCGACGGTATCTTCATATCTTGACGATACCATAGTTCCTGACTGGAAAACACGTAGCACCGGCTCTTTAAGAGGAAAGTTTCTTGGCTTAGTTCTGGGTCAGAACCAACCCACCTCTCTGTCTCCGTGGGAAACAGGAGCAGGTTTCGGGCGGAACCACGGACACGGTCCTGAAGAACCTGCTGTCGGACACGCCCTACATCGTTACCGTGGTTCCTGTTTACCCCGAGGGCGAAGGCCTGCGCCAGGCTGACAGAGGAAAGACCCGTAAGTACCGACCCGGTTCGGCAGAACCCACCGTTCACCTCTCTGGTCTGTCAGCTGTGTTTTCCCCTGCTTCTGTTTCCTGGGTTTGGACCGGGTTCTGACCGGACCCGGTCGGTCGGGGTTGATGTTCTGGCCTCAGTGTTTTCCTCCTTTCCTCCTTATTCATAAAAGTTTTAGCATGTTGACGAGTTTTTCACCAGTGACTCCAGTTTTCCCAGTTGGTGGTGCTGATCTGGGAAAAGAAGCTTCTGCTTTCATTTTGTCGTTTTGTACATTTGGTTGCTTAACTCTTGCTGTAAAACTGGCATCTTCCCCCAACCGGGTCGACGGGTTCAGAGACCAAACGACCTCTGACCCCTGGAAGAACCCGGACCGGGCCGCTCTGGGTGTGTTTCTGCCTGACCTTGTGTTGACCTCTGACCCATGCAGTTCCACGGACGCCGCCCAGGAACATCCAGGTGTACAACCCGACGCCCAACAGCCTGAACGCCCGCTGGGAGGCGGCGTCGGGCCGGGTGCAGCAGTACCGCGTGGCCTACGTCCCGCTGAGCGGCGCCCGGGCCGCCGAGTCGGTGAGTCACACACTGCCGCAGAAACCGGGTCAGAACCGGGCCGCGAACGGGGGCAGACGTGATAATGGATCCGGTCTGGTCCAATCGGCTTCGTTTTGTTTCATTTAGTAAATGATTTTGTGTGAATCTGAAGAAGCGTCAAACTGAGGGAAGCAGTCGGGTCAGGAAACGAGTCAGAACTTTTTAACTTCCTGGAAGTTCAGGATTTGTTTTGGTCCATCTGCAGGAGCGTCTCTGTCTGTGACCCGGTCCTGATCCGGTCCGGGTCTCCCAGCTGGCTGTCCTGCTGGGATTCACCCCCAGCCCAGTAAACCAGTCAGAACCCGACCCGATCTGGCCCGGCAGTCCTTCTGGCAGTTCTTTGTTGTTTTTTTGCTAAAGTCAATGTTTCAGAGTTTATTTCATTTTATCATTATTGTAATAAATTTTCTGAGCGCTCTGGTTCCCGTTTTCATCGCTTTTACATTTATAATTTGTATAGATGTATTTGTATTTTGTATTCATTTTTGCAATTTATTTATGTAATATTAATATTTTCTGTTTTTGCTTTCTCTCTGGTCGGGAAGGTTCTGGTTCCTGGAAGCATCACCAACGCCTACCTGGACAACCTGATCCGGACACGCCCTACGCCATCACCGTCTCTGCGCTGTACGCCGACGGCGAGGGGGCGCCGGTCAAGGCGACGGCAAAACGCGTAAGAACCCGACCCAAGGCCGGTTCTGGTTCTCTGCAACCAAATCCCTGAGCTTTGATGAAAGAACCGGGTCAGGAGAACCGCACTTTAAAACGAAACAGGATTCCTGTAAAAAGTTAGATTATCATCTAAATAATTAATTAGTAGCAGAGTAAGAATGAAGAAATGCATTTTATTTTACTCAGATTTTTAATCTTTGCCATGACAAACATGATCACATCATAAAACGTCACAAACTGACCTTGAAACAACAGTGACACAATCTGAGTGGTGTAGATGAATGTTGAGCCCAATTTTAGCTTAAAGCACAGCAGTTAATACTTTATTCATAAAATGCGTGACAAGGTTATTTACTTTTGTTAGAATTTTCATTTATTTTTATTGGTCTTTATTATTTTATTTTCAATGGCCATTTTTTGTTTACAATAGTAATTTATATGTTTTAATGTTTATAAAAAAAAATTTATTGGTATTTTTTATTTATTTAATTTTTAAAGACTTAATTAAAATGATAAATCATTATTTTATTTTGTACTTTTATTCATCTATTTTTATTTTATAAAACTGGTTAATGGTCATTTTCAAACTTAAAACGTTCCTGATGGTTTTTTCGTTTTGTTTTTACGTTGACGTTTAGTCGTCGATGTGATTTGCTGATTTTCAGCTTCCAAATCTGAGACAGAATAAAAACCAGAGAATCACCTGCAGACAGAAACTAAAGGGAGCCGGACAGCGTCCCTGTGGAGCTCCGGACACATTTCCTCTCCCTGCAGGTTTAAAAGCCAATCCATGTGGAGTCAGTGTGTTTTCCAACTGTGTGTGTTCCAGTGCCTCGAGCCGGCCCTAGGAACCTGCGCGTGTACGACGCCACCACCAGCAGCCTGACGATCGGCTGGGACCGCCGAGGGCCCGGTCCGCCAGTACAGGATCGCCTACGCTCCCATGACCGGAGACCCCATCACAGAGTTTGTGAGTTCAGCTTTCCGTTTTGGACACAGGAATCGATAAAAACCCGAAAGGTAGACCAGCGGTTCTGGTTCTGTTAGCAGAACCTGGGCCGGGATCCAGACAGAGCAGTCTCAGCTGAAGTCACTCTAGTTCTCGGAACAAACTGCTTGGTTAAAACCTCTCTGCTGGAAACAAAGGATCTGTTTTTACGCTCTGGCTTTGTTTTGAGTAAACTCTGCTGACGTTGCGGCTAAGCTATGCGATGAGGTCACTCCCCAGGACTCCCTGGCCTCCTCCAGCCTATGAATCACCGTTAGCGCAGCTAATTACAGCCTCTGTTGGACCAACACTGTCACGGGGAGCATAATGACGTTATTATGAGCTCTGGGAACTGCCAGTGAGTCGCTGCAGACTGAGCAGAACCTCTGCGGTACCGAACCATTACCTTCACCAGAACCGCCAACCGTTCTGCAGCGACTCAGCTTTTGGTCCCAGAAGAATTTAAGCTGTAAAATCCCAGTTTTCCTCATTAAAACAGTCTTTAATTGAATTATGTTGCTGTTGCTGGAGATCCACATGCCTGTTGGACAAGATGCTGCCAACAACACTTTTAGCCAATTTTAGCTTACACGTTAGTGTTTGCGTACTGAACGGAGTACGCTGATGTCAGTCAACATGTTACTAATAACCTACATGCTGATGATGTTAACTTTCCATTAGCATTGCAGCTAAGTTGGATTTAGCAGCTAAACTTAACAAATTGAATGGAATGCCTCAGTGCTAGTCAACATGCTATCAATACCCTACATTATATTGAATTCATTTTATCTGACCTAAGCACTTTAGCTAAACTTAGCTATTGCACGTGATTACATCTTAAATGGAGTCCATAACTGGAGGTCAACGTGCTACTTATAGCCTCATGCTAATGAAAGCATTTAAGCTAAAATTAGCATTTTAGTTTGTTTTGATTTACATGCTAAATGTAGCACTTACATTAGGGTCTTCCTAATAAAACCGAATGAAAAGCAGATGAAGTCCATAAACTTCAGTACTTCAGTGGAAATGATAATCCAAATCTCCAGAACCGGAGAACCAAACACATTAAGTAGAGCGTCTTAAATCCTGCTCTATGAAACTGCAACGCCTTTCTGTCTCCTGATGTCCCAGACAATGGCTCCAGGGAATCGGAACAACGCCATGCTGCCCAATCTGCTCCCAGACACGCCCTACAACATCACCGTGGAGGCCATCTATGCCGAGGGGCCCGGAGGGTCCCTGAACGGGAACGGACGGACAAGTAAGCAAGTCCAGCAGCCTGGCTCAAAACAGTTAGCTTAACAAGAACCGTTAGCTTAGCAGGCAGCTCAAGCCGAATCAAAACCATTAGCTTAGCAAGTAGCTAATAGCGCCTCAAAGCCGTTAGCTTAGCTCCTCCAGATCCACTGGAACTGACGGCTCCTCTCCCGGTTCTCCAGTCGGCATGCTGAGTCCCAGAAACTTGCGGGTCTCAGATGAGTGGTACACCAGGTTTCGGGTGTCCTGGGAGCCCGTCTCTGCTCCGGTTCAGGGTACCGGCTTATCTACTCGCCTCAAGGTGAGCGCTGCTCAATCTGTCTCACCTGGTTCCTCTGGTTTCTCTCTGGTTCCTCTGGTTCCTCTCTGGTTCCTCTCTGGTTCTTCTTGTTTCTCTCTGGTTCTTCTGGTTCCTCTCTGGTTCCTCTGGTTCCTCTCTGGTTCTTCTTGTTTCTCTCTGGTTCATCTCTGGTTCCTCTCTGGTTCCTCTCTGGTTCTTCTTGTTTCTCTCTGGTTCCTCTCTGGTTCCTCTCTGGTTCTTCTTGTTTCTCTCTGGTTCTTCTGGTTCCTCTCTGGTTCCTCTGGTTCCTCTCTGGTTCATCTCTGGTTCCTCTCTGGTTCCTCTCTGGTTCTTCTTGTTTTCTCTCTGGTTCCTCTCTGGTTCCTCTCTGGTTCCTCTATGGTTCCTCTGGTTCTTCTTGTTTCTCTCTGGTTTCTCTGGTTCCTCTCTGGTTCCTCTATGGTTCCTCTGGTTCTTCTTGTTTCTCTCTGGTTCCTCTCTGGTTCTTCTTGTTTCTCTCTGGTTCCTCTCTGGTTCCTCTGGTTCTTCTGGTTCCTCTCTGGTTCCTCTCTGGTTCTTCTTGTTTCTCTCTGGTTCCTCTCTGGTTCCTCTGGTTCTTCTTGTTTCTCTCTGGTTCCTCTCTGGTTCCTCTGGTTCCTTTTGGACCTTGCAGCCTCTGTTGTGGTTCCAGGTAAGAACCAGCCTGTGGACTTCTTTGTGGGTGACGTCACCTCGTTCACGCTGACCAACCTGGAGCCTGGAACCACCTACGATGTGAAGGTTCTGGCTCAGTACAACACCGGCATCAGCGCTCCGCTTATAGGAGAGGGAACCACGCGTAGGTCCCACCCAGATGCATGATGGGAGTTCAGGTTAGTATGGAGGCTGCTGTCATGACGGCTTGTTGTTCTGATGGCTGCAGTTTACCTGAACGTCACCAACATCGAGACCTACGACGTCGGCCATGACGGCTTCTGCATCAAGTGGAGTCCGCACCGCGCGGCAACATCCTACCGCATCAAACTGAACCCTGTGGACCGTAAGTCGCCTCACGCTTTAGTCCACACTTCCTGGAAACTTCCTGGAGATATCCTGGAACTTCCTGGAAACATCCTGGAACTTTCTGGAGATATCCTGGAACTTCCCACAGACATCCTGGATTATTGATAAACAATTTTATCTTCTATTATTATTATTTATATTATCATTATCATCTTTAGTAATAACAGAAAACATGTTAATTGACACATTAGTTTAATTTTATCTTCATAACTTGCGCATAATTTTATATATAACCTTTATTATTTCTATTCCTCAAGGTAGGAACAGTCGCTTTTTCTCATTTAGATTTGATCATGATTTATTATTTATAATACAATATTAATTATATTATTTACATGTAGTAAATTATAGCAGATTACTGCTATAATCTCGATTATAGCAGTAATCGAGATTATTTTCATAGCAATAGTGAAATAATTTTGCTTTCCATTTTATCTTTATTGCTTCTAATATATAATAATCCTGATAACAAAGTAATTTTATTATTTGTTGGACAATAATAATGGTGTCACCAGTTATCATAAATATGATAATAGTAATAAATAATATTGATGAATCCTTGTGGATCAGAGGACATGCTGGCCCCCCGGGACGAGCCGGTGTGGCGGGTTCTCTGACCTTTGACCTGGACCGGGTCATGCAGACGCGGCTGTGGTTCCGGCAGCTGGAAGCGGGTTTGGGTTTGAATCCGTGGTGTCGGTTCCCTGCATCTGGTTCCTGTTGCTGCTCAGACTCGGGTTTGGAGATGAAAGATGTTAGTCATTAGCCGTCCGTTCTGTGAGGGTGGAGAAGCGCAGACAGACTGGGAGTGCTGGGAGGCCGCCAGTGAAACCAGTGGCTTCTCCAGAGAAACAAAGGCTCAGTGTGAGGAAGAAGCTGGCAGGTCTTCTGAGCTTCCTGATGTGGGATTCCTCGGCGTTCCGCTGAGGAGCAGCTGCTCCTTGCGGATGCGTCCTGGTCCCAGATGGTTCCGGCTCATCCGGACCTGAAGACCGCTGAGCTCTGCATGTGGCACGTTTAGCTCTCCATAAATTTATCGTTCTGCATTAATTCTAAAGGGTTAATTTAATCGGCTGTTTCATAAACTCTCACTTTAATCAAGTTCGACCTCAAGTTTTGGTTGTCTTTAGGAGTTTCTCAAGTAGTTTGATATTTATATTCATGCTCTTATTTTGAAGTCAGTTTACACAGCAGTTCAGTTTCCCCTCCTCAACTTTACTGGACAGAAGCTCCAATCATGCAGCTTTTGTCCAATCAGTGAACGAGTTACTCAGCAGCTAAATCACCGAGACCTGCTGGGCACCAACGCTGTGGAATATAGCAATTTAGCATTAGCTTCTGCTAATAGCTTCTGCTAAATATCATGTTAGCTTAGCACTAAGAGCTGGTTCCACTTGGTTTCCACTTGGCTCCAGTCGGTTCCTGTTGGTTCTGGTTGGTTCTGGTTGGCTCCAGTCGGTTCCTGTTGGTTCTGGTTGGCTCCAGTCGGTTCCTGTTGGTTCTGGTTGGCTCCAGTCGGTTCCTGTTGGTTCTGGTTGGTTCTGGTTGGCTCCAGTCGGTTCCTGTTGGTTCTGGTTGGTTCTGGTTGGCTCCAGTCGGTTCCTGTTGGTTCTGGTTGGCTCCAGTCGGTTCCTGTTGGTTCTGGTTGGTTCTGGTTGGCTCCAGTCGGTTCCTGTTGGTTCTGGTTGGTTCTGGTTGGCTCCAGTCGGTTCCTGTTGGTTCTGGTTGGTTCTGGTTGGCTCCAGTCGGTTTCTGTTGGTTCTGGTTGGCTCCAGTCGGTTCCTGTTGGTTCCTGTTGGTTCTGGTTGGCTCCAGTCGGTTCCTGTTGGTTCTGGTTGGCTCCAGTCGGTTCCTGTTGGTTCTGGTTGGCTCCAGTCGGTTCCTGTTGGTTCTGGTTGGCTCCAGTCGGTTCCTGTTGGTTCTGGTTGGCTCCAGTCGGTTCCTGTTGGTTCTGGTTGGCTCCAGTCGGTTCCTGTTGGTTTCTGGTTCTGGTTGGCTCCAGTCGGTTCCTGTTGGTTCTGGTTGGTTCTGGTTGGCTCCAGTCGGTTCCTGTTGGTTCTGGTTGGTTCTGGTTGGCTCCAGTCGGTTCCTGTTGGTTCTGGTTGGCTCCAGTCGGTTCCTGTTGGTTCTGGTTGGCTCCAGTCGGTTCCTGTTGGTTCTGGTTGGTTCTGATTGGCTCTAGTCGGTTCCTGTCTCTGACCCGTTCTGTTGTCGTCCTCCTCAGCCTCCAGTTTGGGTCAGCAGGAGGTCACCATCCCGGCCGGCCTGCCTCAGTACTGCTTCGACGAACTGTCTCCGGACTCTCTGTACACGGCCACCGTCTTCGTTCAGACTCCCAACCTGGAAGGTCCAGGAGTCAGCGCCAAGGAGCGGACATGTGAGTCCAGAAGGTCCCTGAACTGCTGGTGGTTCTGCTCGGTCCTGAAACATCTTGTTCATGTTGCAGAACCGAGTCTTCAGTTCTAGTTTGCTGGAGTAAGGTGATATTTTCCTGGATTTTTTGCTTCAGTGAGATTAAAATAAGAACCAAAGTCAAACTGGGTTCCTTAACAGTGACTGGTTTGTAACTGGTTCTGGTTTATTGAGCCCATGTTGGTTATTCTTTTTGCTCACAGTGGTGAAACCGACTCCGGTTCCGACTCTGCCCCCGACCCCAACGCCGCCCCCCACCGTCCCCCCTGGATGGGCAGGTGAGTCTGGAGCGGTTCTGGTCCACAGTAAACAGCATGTTACTCTCGTCTGGTCGGGAGGAAGCAGCGGCGGGAACATCCGTCTCTACTTCCTGTTCAGACTCGGAACATTCCTGAAGTCTGTCCAAGTTAAGAGGCTCTGATGGGTCAGAACCAGAAGAACCGGGTCAGAGTTCTGGCTGTGTACACTGAGCTTTGTTGTGTGTGTGTGCGTCTGTGTCTGTGTGTGTGTGTGTGTGTGCGTCTGTGTCTGTGTGTGTGTGTCTGTCTGTCTGTCTGTGTGTGTGTGTGTGTGTGTGTCTGTGTGTGCGTGTGTGTGTGTGTGTGTGTCTGTGTATGTGTGTGTGTGCGTGCGTGCGTGTGTGTGTGTGTATCTGTGTGTGTGTGTCTGTCTGTATGTGTGTGTGTATGTGTGTGTGTGTGTGTCTGTCTGTCTGTGTGTGTCTGTGTGTGTGTGTCTGTCTGTCTGTGTGTGTGTCTGTGTGTGTGTTGTCTGTGTGTGTGTGTGTGTGTGCGTCTGTGTCTGTGTGTGTGTGTGCGTGCGTGCGTGCGTGTGTGTGTGTGTCTGTCTGTCTGTCTGCGTGTGTGTGTGTGTCTGTCTGTGTGTGTGTGTGTGTGTGTGTGTCTGTGTGTGTGTGTGTGTGTCTGTCTGTGTGTGTGTCTGTGTGTGTGTCTGTCTGTGTGTGTGTGTGTGTGCGTGTGTGTGTGTGCGTCTGTGTCTGTGTGTGTGTGTGTCTGTCTGTCTGTCTGCGTGTGTGTGTGTGTGTGTGTGTGTGTGTCTGTGTGTGTGTGTGTGTCTGTGTGTGTGTGTGTCTGTCTGTCTGTCTGTCTGTCTGCGTGTGTGTGTGTGTGTCTGTGTGTGTGTGTGTGTGTGTGTGTGGTGTGTGTGTGTGTGTGTGTGTGTGTGTGTGTGTGTGTGTGTGTGTGTGTGTGTGTGTGCAGTGTGTAAAGGAGCCAAAGCAGACGTTGTGTTCGTCATCGACGGCTCCTGGAGCATCGGGGAGGAGAGCTTCACCAAGGTCATCCACTTCGTCTCCAGCATCATCGCCGCATTCGACGTCGTCGGATCGTCAGGGATGCAGGTCAAAGTTCAACGTCATTCATCTGAAAGTCATTGATAAATCAGTTCATTATCTTCTGACCAGCAGATTAGTTTTATTTAAAATTAAGGAGATTATGTTATTAGATTTTTATCACATAAAGATTCAAACAAAATAAATAGAATAAATAAATCCTTAATAGATGCAGAACATGAGAGAGCCATGAACCAAAATATGACTCTTTTTCTCACAATTTTGGATTTAATTCTGAAAAAAGCACTAAATGGATGTTTTAGTGGCCCGGATTCTGTTCCATAGTGATGGCATGTAACACGGTGAAATAGGTTATATTTAAATATCCTCAGTAGGACACATTTCCAGAATAAATATTTTAATCTTTGTTCCTGAAAAATAATCAAACTTTAAACAGTAAAGCTTCACACTGCATAGATTTTCCTTCCACTCAACTTTCCATGTTAATACAGTGCTCCCTGTACCAAACGTTCACTGCAAAACATTTCTGTTGAATTTGCTTTTTACTCACTGTAAAACAGAACCGGCCGTGTTTAGTCTGGATGATTCTGGATTAATCCAGATGTTCTGACGAAGCCGCTCCTCTTCCAGGTTTCCTTCGTTCAGTACAGCGACGGCTCAAAGACCGAGTTCAAGCTCAACTCTTACGCAGACAAAGGCGTCGCAATGGCAGCCGTGCATCACATCCGCTACCGAGGAGGAAACACCAAGACAGGTGAGTTTGGATGGTCCTGATCCTGGACCAGATCTGGTCCGGTCCAGGTCCAAGTCCGGTCCTGGTCCGGTCCAGGTCCGGTCCAGGTCCAGGTCCGGTCCAGGTCCAGGTCCAGGTCCGGTCCAGGTCCAGGTCCGGTCCAGGTCCAGGTCCAGGTCCGGTCCAGGTCCAGGTCCGGTCCAGGTCCAGGTCCAGGTCCGGTCCAGGTCCAGGTCCGGTCCGGTCCAGGTCCAGATCTGGTCCGGTCCAGGTCCAGATCCGGTCCAGGTCCAAGTCCGGTCCTGGTCCGGTCCCGGTCCAGGTCTGGTCTGGTCCAGGTCCAAGTCCGGTCCTGGTCCGGTCCAGGTCCAGGTCTGGTCTGGTCCAGGTCCAGGTCTGGTCTGGTCCAGATCTGGTCCCGGACCAGGACCAGGTCCAGGTCTGGTCTGGTCCAGATCTGGTCCCAGTCCCGGTCCCGGTCCGGCCCGTGTGTCTCCGGCCTGCCTCTCTAACCTGTGGGTGTGAACAGGCGAGGCGCTGAAGCACACGTATGAGAAGGCCTTCTCGGTGGAGAACGGGATGCGGAGGAACGTCCCCAAGGTGGTGGTGGCCATCACAGACGGTCAGTCTCAGGACGAGGTGAAGAAGAACGCCGCCAAGCTGCAGCATGCAGGTAAGGGGCGCCGCCGATGGGCTCTCCCCGCCGCCGGCGCCGCCGATGCTGATTCTAATGTGGCTGTTTGTCAGCTTGTTGGATTTGACTATTTGCTGATGATGCAGCGATTTTCTGCATTTCTTTCTAAAGGTTTATAATCCATTCTACCAACAGAGGGCACTAATGGGTTGGTAGAGGAACTGTTTTTATGTTTCGTACTTTTTCTAACTTTGAAACATCTTGCGCACTTAGCTTCCTCTAAGTTCACTTTTCAAGATGAATTCTCAGCTGTTGGTGAACCTTTTTGGATATCAACTGTTAGATATTTATATTAACGCTCTTATTTTGAAGTTGGGCATCACTGTTTTATGCACTTCCTGAAGCACAATCTGTACTAGTTGGTGTGTAATTCCATATGTAACGCTGCAGAGGGCGACATACTGTGCAAGTCCTGTCTTCCAGAGCCGTCCTGCAACTTTCAGATAAATCTTTACTCCCGCAAACCGGGTCGGACTCAGAACCGGCCTGCAGCACCTGACCCAGGTGTGCTGCAGCAGGAAGCAGCTGAAAGCTGCAGGCGGCTGAGGAGCGCTGCGCAATATGTCACTGACAACATTGTTAAAGTTAGCGCTTTAGCGTTAGCGGAACTAGCTCTGTAGCTAGCGGTTCGAAGTGCTCCAGTCTAACAGCTGGAAGTTAAAACTTGTTTTTTGCTGCTTCTCTTTTGGACCCTGAGGGAAGCAGGACCTGTTTCTCTCTGAGACGCCATTTTGTGCTATTATTGTCTTCATGTTGACTCAAATATCTCGATGTCCTCAGTTTCACCAAATGGACCAAAATGTCCGAACTCTGAGCTTTTCCAAACTTACATTAAGATTCCTTTGATCTGAGGTTGTTCCAGATGTTGGAGACAGAAATCAATGAGGTTCTGACCCGTGGTTCTGGTTCTGACCCGTGGTTCTGGTTCTGACCCGTGGTTCTGGTTCTGCTCCCAGGTTACAGCGTTTTCGCCATCGGCGTGGCGGACGTGGACTTCGTGGAGCTGCAGGAGATCGGCAGCAAGCCGAGTGACAGACACGTGTTCGTGGTGGACGACTTCGACGCCTTCGACTCCATCAAGGAGAATCTGATCACCTTCATCTGCGAAACGTCGACTTCCTGTCAGTCCGGCTTCGCTTCTGCCTTAGAACCCGTCCCCTGCTGAACGTCCCCTGCTGAACGTCCCCTGCTGAACGCTCTGTTCTCTCCACAGCCTGTCCTCTCATCTACCTCAACGGCTTCACCTCGCCTGGTGAGTCCGAGCTTCAGGTGGAACCGGGTCAGAATCCTGCCCCTCCTCTTCATCCTCCTCCTCTTCCTCAGGGTTCAGGATGCTGGAGGCCTTTAACCTGACGGAGAAGACCTACAGCTCCGTCCCCGGCGTCTCCATGGAGCCCGGATCCTTCAACAGCTACACGGCGTACCGGCTGCACCGCGACGCCTTCCTGACCCAGCCCAGCACGTGAGTCCCAGCCGGGTCCGCTCGCCGGTTCCGGTCCAGAGTCATGTTGCATTAAGGCTGAATGCTGCTTCTCCATGCGGACCAGACGACCAGGCCCTGTCTGTATGTGTCTGTGGAGGTTCAGGTCAGAGGTCATTCAGAGGCACCTGGTGACATCATAATATGGTAGTCATGCTAACTGATGGTAACAGTGGGAGCTTCTAGAAATGAGAGGAGTCCCTGGACTGATCCCTGGGGAACCCCACAGCGCTTCAGTCCAATGCAGCGGATGCATTCTAACTGAGCGACTCTATGCAGCTTCTAGTTCCAGCTCTGTGTTTCCTGAGCAGAGAGATTCACCCAGACGGCCTTCCAGACACCTTCACCCTCATCCTCATGTTCCGCCTGCTGCCCGACTCGCCCACCGAGCCCTTTGACCTCTGGCAGGTCACCTCCAGGGACCACAAGCCGCAGACTGGGGTCACCGTGGACGGTGAGTCCGCCGGGCGCCGCAGGGCAACACGGGGCAACACGGGGCAACACTGGGCAACACAGGGCAACACTGGGCAACACGGGGCAACACTGGGCAACGCAGGGCAACACTGGGCAACACTGGGCAACACGGGAGAACACTGGGCAACGCAGGGCAACACTGGGCAACACAGGGCAACACTGGGCAACACTGGGCAACGCAGGGCAACACTGGGCAACACTGGGCAACACTGGGCAACACAGGGCAACACTGGGCAACACAGGGCAACACTGGGCAACACTGGGCAACGCAGGGCAAACTGGGCAACACAGGGCAACACTGGGCAACACAGGGCAACACTGGGCAACACTGGGCAACGCAGGGCAACACTGGGCAACGCAGGGCAACACTGGGCAACGCAGGGCAACACGGGAGAACACTGGGCAACGCAGGGCAACACTGGGCAACACAGGGCAACACTGGGCAACACTGGGCAACGCAGGGCAACACTGGGCAACACTGGGCAACACTGGGCAACACTGGGCAACACTGGGCAACACAGGGCAACACTGGGCAACACTGGGCAACGCAGGGCAACACTGGGCAACACTGGGCAACACAGGGCAACACTGGGCAACACTGGGCAACGCAGGGCAACACTGGGCAACGCAGGGCAACACAGGGCAACACTGGGCAACACAGGGCAACACTGGGCAACACTGGGCAACGCAGGGCAACACTGGGCAACGCAGGGCAACACTGGGCAACGCAGGGCAACACTGGGCAACACGGGAGAACACTGGGCAACGCAGGGCAACACTGGGCAACGCAGGGCAACACTGGGCAACGCAGGGCAACACTGGGCAACGCAGGGCAACGCAGGGCAACACTGGGCAACGCAGGGCAACACTGGGCAACACAGGGCAACACTGGGCAACACAGGGCAACACAGGGCAACACTGGGCAACACTGGGCAACACAGGGCAACACGGGGCAACACAGGGCAACACTGGGCAACACAGGGCAACACTGGGCAACACAGGGCAACACTGGGCAACACTGGGCAACACTGGGCAACACAGGGCAACACTGGGCAACACTGGGCAACGCAGGGCAACACTGGGCAACGCAGGGCAACACAGGGCAACACAGGGCAACACAGGGCAACACAGGGCAACACTGGGCAACACAGGGCAACACAGGGCAACACTGGGCAACACAGGGCAACGCAGGGCAACACTGGGCAACGCAGGGCAACACTGGGCAACGCAGGGCAACACTGGGCAACGCAGGGCAACACTGGGCAACACAGGGCAACACAGGGCAACGCAGGGCAACACGGGAGAACACTGGGCAACGCAGGGCAACACTGGGCAACACGGGAGAACACTGGGCAACGCAGGGCAACACGGGAGAACACTGGGCAACGCAGGGCAACACGGGGCAACACTGGGCAACGCAGGGCAACACAGGGCAACACTGGGCAACACTGGGCAACACAGGGCAACACTGGGCAACACAGGGCAACACTGGGCAACACTGGGCAACACTGGGCAACGCAGGGCAACACTGGGCAACGCAGGGCAACACTGGGCAACGCAGGGCAACACTGGGCAACACAGGGCAACACTGGGCAACGCAGGGCAACACTGGGCAACACTGGGCAACACTGGGCAACGCAGGGCAACACTGGGCAACACTGGGCAACACAGGGCAACACTGGGCAACACTGGGCAACGCAGGGCAACACTGGGCAACGCAGGGCAACACAGGGCAACACTGGGCAACACAGGGCAACACTGGGCAACACTGGGCAACGCAGGGCAACACGGGAGAACACTGGGCAACGCAGGGCAACACTGGGCAACACAGGGCAACACTGGGCAACGCAGGGCAACACTGGGCAACACTGGGCAACACAGGGCAACACTGGGCAACACTGGGCAACGCAGGGCAACACTGGGCAACGCAGGGCAACACAGGGCAACACTGGGCAACACAGGGCAACACTGGGCAACACTGGGCAACGCAGGGCAACGCAGGGCAACACTGGGCAACGCAGGGCAACACTGGGCAACGCAGGGCAACACTGGGCAACACTGGGCAACACGGGAGAACACTGGGCAACGCAGGGCAACACTGGGCAACGCAGGGCAACACTGGGCAACGCAGGGCAACACAGGGCAACACTGGGCAACACTGGGCAACACAGGGCAACACAGGGCAACACTGGGCAACGCAGGGCAACACTGGGCAACGCAGGGCAACACTGGGCAACACAGGGCAACACTGGGCAACACTGGGCAACACAGGGCAACACGGGGCAACACAGGGCAACACTGGGCAACACAGGGCAACACTGGGCAACACTGGGCAACACAGGGCAACACTGGGCAACGCAGGGCAACACTGGGCAACGCAGGGCAACACAGGGCAACACAGGGCAACACAGGGCAACACAGGGCAACACTGGGCAACACAGGGCAACACTGGGCAACACAGGGCAACACTGGGCAACGCAGGGCAACACTGGGCAACGCAGGGCAACACTGGGCAACGCAGGGCAACACTGGGCAACACAGGGCAACACAGGGCAACACAGGGCAACACTGGGCAACACAGGGCAACACTGGGCAACACAGGGCAACACAGGGCAACACAGGGCAACACTGGGCAACACAGGGCAACACTGGGCAACACAGGGCAACACAGGGCAACACTGGGCAACACTGGGCAACACTGGGCAACACAGGGCAACACTGGGCAACACAGGGCAACACTGGGCAACACTGGGCAACGCAGGGCAACACTGGGCAACACTGGGCAACGCAGGGCAACACTGGGCAACGCAGGGCAACACTGGGCAACGCAGGGCAACACTGGGCAACGCAGGGCAACACGGGGCAACACTGGGCAACACTGGGCAACACAGGGCAACACTGGGCAACACAGGGCAACACGGGGCAACACAGGGCAACACTGGGCAACACAGGGCAACACTGGGCAACACAGGGCAACACAGGGCAACACTGGGCAACACTGGGCAACGCAGGGCAACACTGGGCAACGCAGGGCAACACAGGGCAACACAGGGCAACACAGGGCAACACAGGGCAACACTGGGCAACACAGGGCAACACTGGGCAACACTGGGCAACACAGGGCAACACTGGGCAACACAGGGCAACACAGGGCAACACTGGGCAACGCAGGGCAACACTGGGCAACGCAGGGCAACACTGGGCAACACAGGGCAACACAGGGCAACACAGGGCAACACTGGGCAACACAGGGCAACACTGGGCAACACAGGGCAACACAGGGCAACACAGGGCAACACTGGGCAACACTGGGCAACACAGGGCAACACTGGGCAACACAGGGCAACACAGGGCAACACAGGGCAACACTGGGCAACACAGGGCAACACTGGGCAACACTGGGCAACACAGGGCATCACTGGGCAACACAGGGCAACACTGGGCAACGCAGGGCAACACTGGGCAACGCAGGGCAACACTGGGCAACACAGGGCAACACAGGGCAACACAGGGCAACACTGGGCAACACTGGGCAACGCAGGGCAACACTGGGCAACACGGGGCAACACAGGGCAACACTGGGCAACGCAGGGCAACACTGGGCAACACGGGAGAACACTGGGCAACGCAGGGCAACACTGGGCAACACGGGGCAACACTGGGCAACACTGGGCAACACAGGGCAACACTGGGCAACGCAGGGCAACACTGGGCAACACGGGGCAACACTGGGCAACACTGGGCAACACAGGGCAACACTGGGCAACACTGGGCAACACAGGGCAACACTGGGCAACGCAGGGCAACACTGGGCAACACGGGGCAACACTGGGCAACGCAGGGCAACACGGGGCAACACTGGGCAACACAGGGCAACACGGGGCAATACTGGGCAACACGGGAGAACACTGGGCAACACAGGGCAACACTGGGCAACACAGGGCAACACGGGGCAACACTGGGCAACGCAGGGCAACACTGGGCAACACGGGGCAACACTGGGCAACACTGGGCAACACGGGGCAACACTGGGCAACGCAGGGCAACACTGGGCAACACGGGGCAACGCAGGGCAACACAGGGCAACACAGGGCAACACTGGGCAACACAGGGCAACACTGGGCAACGCAGGGCAACACTGGGCAACACGGGGCAACACTGGGCAACACGGGGCAACACTGGGCAACGCAGGGCAACACTGGGCAACATGGGGCAACACTGGGCAACACAGGGCAACACTGGGCAACGCAGGGCAACACTGGGCAACACAGGGCAACACTGGGCAACACTGGGCAACACAGGGCAAACTGGGCAACGCAGGGCAACACTGGGCAACACGGGGCAACACAGGGCAACACGGGGCAACACTGGGCAACGCAGGGCAACACTGGGCAACGCAGGGCAACACGGGAGAACGCAGGGCAACACTGGGCAACGCAGGGCAACACGGGGCAACACTGGGCAACACTGGGCAACGCAGGGCAACACTGGGCAACACTGGGCAACGCAGGGCAACACGGGGCAACACTGGGCAACGCAGGGCAACACGGGAGAACACTGGGCAACGCAGGGCAACACTGGGCAACGCAGGGCAACACTGGGCAACGCAGGGCAACACTGGGCAACGCAGGGCAACACGGGGCAACACTGGGCAACGCAGGGCAACACTGGGCAACGCAGGGCAACACTGGGCAACACGGGGCAACACTGGGCAACACAGGGCAACACTGGGCAACGCAGGGCAACACTGGGCAACGCAGGGCAACACTGGGCAACACGGGAGAACACTGGGCAACGCAGGGCAACACTGGGCAACGCAGGGCAACACTGGGCAACGCAGGGCAACACTGGGCAACGCAGGGCAACGCAGGGCAACACTGGGCAACGCAGGGCAACACTGGGCAACACAGGGCAACACTGGGCAACACAGGGCAACACAGGGCAACACTGGGCAACACTGGGCAACACAGGGCAACACGG